CGCTACTGCCTTTCTTCCTTTTTGCTGCCTGAACTAGCCCTGACCTGGCTTCATCTGAGGTAGTTTCTGAGGAACCAGCTGATACTGTGCATGATGCTGATGAGCTTTTTCACAAGTAAGCAATACTAAAACCTTGCAAGGCTGGGCAATTTCCAGAATATAGTTATAAAGCAAAACTATATTGTGCATTAACTTAATACCAGCAAAACTAGAGAAACATGTACTGTCAGACTTGTGACTATAGAACACCTCTGTGGATGCTGTGGATTTTGTGACAGGCTCATGAATACACAGGTTAGGGTTGCCTTTACAAGTCAGTGCTATCACACACTGCTCTAAAATGAGGCAGTGCCAGTTGTATATTAAGTTTTGCAACTATTCGCAAATAAAAAAACCCCCACGAGAGTACTTGTCAAAAGTACTGATATTTGGGAGTGTGTTTGAAGTGCCTTGTATGCAAAAGGCAGATGTTTGCTGACCACCTCTTCTGCTTTTAAGCGAGGGGTGACAGAAAGGACTGAAATCACTGCATAATGGGCTTTCTCTCTCAAAATGGAAAAAGTACAGCTCTCAGTTCACTTGGGTGATACAGAAATGGTAAAACAAGGGATTCTTTTTTCTTTCAGGTTTAAACAGTCAAAGCTTCAAACTTTTCAATTCTGCACCAACCTAATGAGTTTCAGAAGTTCTCAAGACTAATAAGAAAAATCCTAGTCTGTTGCCTGGTCCTTTATTAGACAGTGTGTGTGTGTATAGCATATTGTGGTTTCCTTCCTAGTTTCTCAGACATCCTATCAAATAAAAATTTCAGTTCTTTTAGAGTCCTACAAGTGGTGGTTCTGGTTGTAAAAGTGTCTTTTCTAACTGCAGTTTTCTGCAAAGGCCTCTCTCACAGACTGATGCATTCTAGGTTAACCGCAATCTTCATCCTCTGTGTAAACCCTGAATTTAGTGGTTCTAAATATTGTTTAATGTGGCTCAATTTAAAACACATTTTCCCTCTCTTCCCCTAGGTTTGTGTGTAAAAATAATGGAGTCTTATTTGAAAATCAGTTGCTACAAATTGGCTTGAAATCTGAATTTCGGCAGAACCTGGGTAAGATCTTTTGGACCAAGTGGTTAGGTGTCTGCATTATCAATCTCAATGCCAGCATGATATTGCAGATAGACTTACTTAATTTTCAGCTACTTAAGAGGAAAGTGTGATTATAGGCCTAGGCGGTCTTATGACTCCCTCTGTTTGTGCATCCCTGTCTTCCATGTGGGCTCTTGTTTCCTTAAATTTTTTGGTTGTTTTGGTAGCTGAGATGAAATGGGAATGTTAAGTGGTACTGTAAACTCCAGCTCTTGCTGCCTAGTTGTATGACTGATACAGCCAGGGTTATAAAGGATCATTCTTCTCAATTTTTATATCTTACGGTATAGCTTATTGTATTAATATGAGACACAATACACTTCAGATTTAATGCATGAGATCCTGGAAGTATCTAGGAAAGGGCTGGGAATTGAATACAGGGCAGGACTAGGATTGCTTGCTTCTCCCCTTCTGCAAAACTCTTGGTGGCGTAGTAGCTTCTTTACACAAAAAGTAACATTCTGCAGCAACTGGAAGACTTCCACTGATTATTTAACTGCTTGTGTGACAGCTACTGTGGGAGGGATCTAATGGTTTGGCTAAATCATTTCATTTTGAACTGTGAATATCTTGGTAAGATAAACTATACTTGGTTCTTAAAAGTTGTTTTAAAGGTAGAAGGCAGTGTATTAGGTAATTAAAACATGAACAGTTCAATATGATTAAGTGTACCTAAAATTGTGATATCTCATCCTTTTCTTTCTAGGACGTATGTTCATATTCTATGGTAATAAGACATCAACACAGTTCTTGAATTTTACTCCAACAGTAATCTGCTCAGATGACCTTCAGTCAAATATCCTTAAATGCAGTAGCACATGTCTGTTTTTATTTGGGTTTTATGGTTTATGTTGCACAAAATTGTAATAAAGCTGCTGGATCCAGGCATGGTGTCCTTGAACATGAAGAAATGGGAAACTTGCTGATAGCTTTCCAGAGTTCTTGTAGAAAGAACAAGTCTTCAGCAGGGATGGAAGATTCTTTCCTTAAAGCTCTGGTTTTAAACACAAACTTTAGTCTTGAAATAAGGAGAAATTAGGCTGAACAAATATGTAATGTAGCTTTTTCCACTGTCATTAAGTGGCAGGGGAGAGACATGTCCTTCAAGTACTGCATTAGCAGATAACCTAAAACTTGACGTGGAGATGGAAGAATACACGTACACCAAGATGATGACACTTTAAAATAAGCTCCTAATTTATGGCTCATACTTAATGCTTGGTATTGCAAATTTAGGATTTCTGGGAGACTGTGTAATCAGCAGTGTTTGACTCAAGGTATCTCTGTCATGTTCAAAATAGTCCTGAGGTTTTTATTGTTAAGTCTGTACTTTCATACCTTTTTAAGGGCATCTTTAAGAGAGTATCCAAATTATTGAGAATTGTTGGAGTTATTGCTTGTAGATATGTAAGTATGAAAAAAAAAAACAAAACAACAACCAACCAAAAAAACCCACCCCACAAACTTTTTTGTTGTACAAGAATTGAGCTTTGAATGTTCAGTAGCACGTAGACAATGAGTGAATGTGATGCTAATTCCTCATATAGCTTATGGGAGGATTTGCCGGGTTTTAAGTTATCAGTTCATTGATCTGTTTCCTTAACTACATTTTTATGCCTGAATCTTCAGACAAAACCTGTTGACCCCACAGTAGATGGAGGTGCACAGGTTCAACAGGTTGTGAACATCGAATGCGTGTCAGACTTCATGGAAGCTCCAATCCTGAACATTCAGTTCAGGTAAGACACAGGATTCAAATACTAGTGAATTAAATAGATGAAAGATGTTAAATTTGCCATGGTCCTGTGACTGAAATGTAGAATCTGGACACACAAAGCTCTCTTGGGTAGACTACTTACTTGAAAAATTGATCTAACTAAGCTTTAAGCTACTTCGAACAATGTGGTTTAAAACAAGCAACAAGCAAACGAACAATCAAGAAGCAGCTACTGATAAAATGGCTCCATGACTTCTCTTTCTGCTATCTGTATAAAACAGCAGTCTTCCTGTTTGCTTAAGAAATCTTGACAGGAATATATGCAGTAACTTCTCCTTTCTGGAAACCAAGAACATTTCTGCAAATGACTTGGCCTGAAAATGTATGCAACCAAAAATAGAATCTTGTTCTGTCCACTCAACATCAGCTCAACTTTATGAAATCCTGCTTCCTGGGCTACATGCTGTTATTCTAGTCTAAAATGGTTTTGTTGGTATTTTTTCACAGGGATATATTTTTCACTCCTTTGGGTGATATCTAGGATAACAATCTATGTTAAAACTGAGAGATCTCTGTTAAAAGTTTGGCCAATTCGTGTGCTATCTAAGCAGAGCAAATAAATTTATTTAACAGTGGATTAAACTTTATATTATAAATATCATCTGGTTATGATAGATTTTAATCATAAGCAATTGGACCTTAGTGTTCATCCTCTGTTGCTTGGTTGATTTATGCTGAGAGACTGCTGACACTGCCGTATACATTATGTTCTTTTTATTCCATATGCAGGTATGGTGGAACATTTCAAAATCTTTCAGTAAAATTACCCATCACACTGAATAAGTTTTTCCAGCCAACAGAGATGTCTTCTCAAGACTTTTTTCAGCGTTGGAAGCAACTGAGCAAGTAAGACTTGATACTTGGGCCTGGGGCTCTTGTGGTGGGCCAAGGGAAGAAAAAGGTGTATTGAGAATGTAGCTGGTGCAGTACCTCATCCTATACTTAATCCTGTAACCTATAAGCTCTCCCAACAGAATTAATTGCTGTTGAACAATGCTGTACATAACACGTGTTTATCTTGCCTTGCCTTGCAGTCCAAAACAAGAAGTACAGAATATCTTCAAAGCAAAACACCCGATGGATGCAGAGATCACAAAAGCGAAGGTAGGTGGTAGTGTGGTGTTTTTAATTCATAGTGTAAGGGGTTAGTGGCATGTCATGTTTTAACCTCAGCTGGCAACTAGGTGCCACACAGCCATGGGATGGGGCAAAGAATAAGGAGGTTAAAAGTGAGAAAACATGTGGGTTGAGATAAAGACAGTTAGTAGCTAAAACAAAAACCATGCATGCAAGCAAAGCAAGGAATTAACGCTGACAAGCAGGTGTTCAGCCATCCCCAGGACAGCAGGGCTCCCTCACGTGTAACAGTTACTTGGAGAGATTATAGATAGGAAACTAAGAATATTGACCAGAGATGGACTCTACACAATTTATTTATTCTGACTGGCAAAAGAGACAGATGGTATATGTTTGTCTGCATATATGACAGATGATATATGTATATCTTACCTCTGCTGAAGAGGTGAAAGGTGTTCTGTATTCAAATGTGTAAGAGGCACTGCCCTTATTTCCATAGCTTGCTACAGTAGCAGGTTATACACAGTGCTAACAACCTTGATAAGGCTCTTTGATGGCAGTTGACTTTGCCATAACAATACACAGTTTTATCTACTAAAAGCAACTGGTGAGAGTGCAGGTTTAAAACAGGATTTTAGATCTCATCCTCTGCCTCCACACTTCAGAGCCAGGCTCTGGCAATGAAGTACATTTAAGAGCAAAAAGAAAAGAAACAAAACCAAAATATTACCCAACCTCCTTCCCTCCTTGCTCTTGGAGTTCAGATGGTGAGGAGCTGCAAGAGCTGAGTGGTCAGCACTCTCAGCATTTGTTTCACAGCACCTAGGTGCAGGACCACATCAGAAACAGCTTTGACAGCAGAGCAGGATTTCTTTTGAGATCAGACTATTACACAGAGACATGTTTTTACCTGCTAGGATTAGTGCTGTATATGGGAGCATTGGCTGTAGGTGAAGGTTGTGATATGGTACAGTCTGCTCTCAATAAATGTCTGAGAAAGTCAGAGAAACCTTTCAGTATTGCAGCACATAAAAACACACAGTGAACACTGCAAGCCTGATTTGCAGGCATATTCAGCAAATCTACAGAAAAAATAATCTGAGCTACGAAATACTTCTTTGCTTTTGTACTCCTAGAAAAATTCAAGTTTTGCTATAAGGACAATATAAAGCCTGAGAGGAATAATAAGCAGTAAATAAGAAAAAAGCACCATAGGGACATTAAGATAGATAAAACCATAATACAGGAAGTAGTGGAATCCCCATCCTTGGAAATGTTCAAAAAATGAGTGGATGTGGCACTTTGTGATATGGTTTAGTGGGCATGGTGGTATTCAGTCAAAGGGTGGACTTGAACATCTTGGAGGCCTTTTCCAACCTTAATGATTCTGTGATTCTCTGAAAATGCCATCACTAAGAACATCCTCCTGTTCCTTCCTTCCCCAGGTTTATATGCTGAGCCAGGACATCATGTAGTTTGGAATATCCCATTGGTCAGTTAGGGTCAGTTGTCCTGGCTGTATCCTGTCCCAGCTTCTTGTGCACCCTCAGCCTCCTCTGGTGGGGTGAGAAGCAGAAAAGGCCTTGGTTCTGTGTGAGCACTGCTCAGCGAGAACTAAAACATCCCTGAATTATCAACACTCTTTTCAGCAGGAATCCAAAACACAGCCCCACACCCTACTAAGAAGAAAATTAACTCTATCCCAACCAAAACCAGCACATGGCATAAGTAAACTTTGTGCATTTTGGTTTATATGGCAATTGGATCATCCTGTTAAATGTTATCCATGTTTCGTAACAGAGTCTTGGCAGTGCTGAGATGAATGGACTGTTTCTCACTGTGATTTGAATTAGATATAGTCTTCAATAGCAGCTGGAAACTTGAAACTGTTTAAGAAAACACCAATTCACTGCTTAAAACTGAACTGGAAGATACTTCAAACCCTAATTGGTACTAGAGTTACTAGTTAGAAAAGTCACTTTTTGTAGAACTGGCTGCCTTAGGCAAAACAGAAGTAACTGTATAAGACAGGAATGGCTGTATCAAAACTAGGGGAGATTTCTGTTAAATCTTAACTTATTTCTCAGTTGCTTTTGAGGAGAACCTTATTTACAGGAACAGCTCATTAGCAGGGTCATTTTTCAAAAATTTGTTGTAATGAAATTGGTATTGGAGAATTCTTTGTCTTGAACACTTAAAAGTTAGTCTCCTACTTGTTTTGCTATTTGGTGGTGGCTCTGTTTGGGTAGACTTGATATTTGTGTCCTTCTCTCCCCACGTCTGAATCTTCTACATTTCTTTCACAGATAATAGGCTTTGGATCAGCGCTGCTTGAGGAGGTAGATCCCAATCCTGCCAACTTTGTTGGTGCTGGTATCATACATACAAAAACTACTCAGATTGGATGCTTGCTGCGCCTTGAACCCAACCTCCAGGCACAGGTATCTGTGTAACTCTCGACAGCTTAAATACAGGTTCTCATTTGAGCTAAATATCTGTGTATCTGAAACTCCTTAAGGTATTTAAAAATGACTATTGCAATAGCAGATTGTGACTGCAGGCTCCAGCAGGAAATTATATGGTAGCAGCTGGTCCTGCATGACATTATACCATTTTGGTAAGCTGCTTCTTCATAGCAATTCCCTTTCCTGTTAGATCATTGTAATATTCCAGACTGTCTGTCAAGTCTCATTTTCTCTTGAAGGTTTGAAACATTTAATGTTTTTGTCTTGTGCACCTCAGACAAGGTTAAGTATGCTTTCTTTTGCCATTTTAAGTTAGTAAAAAAGTGGCTAAAAGAGAAAGCATGAACACAATGTTAAGAATATTTTTACTCAAGCTTTTTTGATAGAGGTTTTATCAAAATTAATTAAGGACTAAAAATAAGTTTTGTGTGGTAAGCCTTCTGTTCCCTGAAGAAGTGGTAGTAGAGGGTCTGTAAACTTTTCCACAACATTTACTCCTCTTAAAGAAAAATTTTGGACAACACCTTTCTGTTGAAGGCTAAAAATACTATAATAAAAGTAATTCTCTACAAGTATTTGAATATAAGTTTGGTTCAGCCAGTGGTTTTAAAAAGCTGTATTACTCAGAGGCTGGCTGCCTCTGAATGTTTTGATTTGAGGTCTTTTTCCTACCAAAGCTTACAAAGCAAGTAGGAGGTAACTGTTAGTTTTCACTAGTTGACTGTGCGTTCATTTAATGCCAAACTGTGTTTAAAAAGTAAGTAAAATTTTATGTTCTTTTTCAGATGTACAGGCTCACACTACGAACAAGTAAAGAAGCTGTATCTCAGAGATTATGTGAATTGCTGTCTGAACAGTTTTAATATTAACCATGTCAGTTTTGGTTTTTCCACTTATATCACTGTCATCATACTGCAAATAAATGTCTTGTACATCACTGTCTGAGTACTGCAATGTTAACCAATACCAGCTCCCTGCCTTAATAGGACTTGACCCTTGTTTAAAATTAAGAATATAAAATGTACAGTACAGGGAAGTGACTTTTTCCATTAAAAATGGCTTTTAGTCTGTTACACAAAGGGTGGGAGGGCTGTTTTTGCTCCTTTTTTTTGCAGAGGTCAGGCTTTTAACCTTGTTGAAGGGAAGTTGTTTTAGATGTGGTAATCAAGGATTTCAGCTGGAAATAGCTAGTAAACATTCTGCTTCAGTACCTTTAACAGGTACTTCCTCTGCTCTGAGTTGAAAGAAACCAATGTACTGCTGCTCAGTAAGGTTAAATCAGATGTTAAATGTAGAGTCAAAACTTTGTAAAGTGAACGTTCCCACAAGTTGTCTGCTGGATGGGAGGGCAGATTCCAGGATGTGTTTGAATCTGATTCAAGTGAACATTTGTGTTGTGTCACCAATCTTTGTATTTAAAAAATGTCACAGGACCAGAGTCTTAAAATATTAATTGTGTAATATTTTACATCTTAATGTTTTCTGATCTTTGGAAAGTGAATTGAAAGCAAAAGCTATTCTTAATCCTTCTGCTTATCTCTAATAATGAGATGAGCTTCTCTGGTAGGTGGTGAATGAGTATATACTTGTTCCTTGTTACTCAGTGAAGTTAAATACTTTGTTCTCTGTTTTTTCTGTTTTCCATCAGACTTCACAAGTAATAGTCCTAATGATGTGATACAATTAACTGCAGGGTCTAGTATTGTATAAAAGAAGTGAGAGGAAATGGGCCCTTGAAGGGCTCTAAGGCATGCACTCTTAGATGAAAATGTAATTTTAAACAATATTTTCTCCAGTGTACATGAATGGTAAAACTTAAGAGGTTGAATAACTGATATCTGAACAGTTTCCTTTCTGTCAGTGGTAAAAATGTCCAACATGGTATAGAAAACTTCTGTTGAAACTTAAAGTGGAATACTCAAAAACGTCCAGGTTTTTACAACCAGAGTCTTTTTAACTTGTTTCACGTCAGCAAACTCTTCACAGCCTCTCTGCAGAAATTTTGGCTCACACTCAAGCCTTGAGGTGCAACAAAGGCTGCAAAACCAAAGCAAGTGAGGTAGCCCAGTTAGAAACCATGGGCAGTTGTAAGCGAGAACTACAGATCACGATGAACAAAATCATCTACTGCTGACGTGAGAAGTGAACCTCAGGTCAAGGTTTCCTCAAGGTTATTTAAAGGCAGCCTGGGACTGGTGTCTCACACACATACAGACAAGTGTGCCCATGGAGTAAAGGTTTTGAGTAAGAGTGATGACATTGAAAATACATTTAAATGAGGCTGCTGTCATGCTGCCCAGTGCACAGCAGGGGACAGGATTCTCCATGATTGAGTGTGCCTTGCTTTTTGTCTTCAGTGCTTTGAGTTTAAATGATGGAATTGGGAGATTATAACTTGATTTGGTTGAAGGCTAGTACTTGAGTACTTGAGTACAGGTGAAAAATGAGGAACAAAGGTTTTGCTGTGATGTGTGGATTTTGGGGGATATGTTTTGTTTTTCCAGAAATGGCTTGTAACTATGGATATTAAGACTGAAAATTTGGCTAAAGGCCTGGTCATTCTGCAAAAGTTCTCTTGAACAACTGGCCCCTTTAAGGCCTTTTAAATACTTCTTAATTAAGACTCTTTGATCATAAATATTGTCATTGAAAGTCTTCATGAGCAGTTCCTGCAGTCATGTTGGGCAGTTGCAAAATACTAATGGGATAGCTTATGTTTTTTCCTCTGGATGGTGTATGTCTCATTATTAGTCCTGTTACGTTAACCATGCTGTCGGCTGCTACATTACAAATCTGATGTGCTGATCTAAAGGGAGTCTTAGCAAAGACAGGGGAGGAGCTTCTGTTTCAACTATTCCAAATCCTGTTGTATATCTGTCCCCCTGAAAAATGTTCTGTGCCCTCATTAAAGGACACCTTGAGAACTGCACTACTTTATTTCACTCTGCTTTGGTTCAAGCTGTGCTAAAATGTGCATTAAAATATGGGAAGGAGGGAGGGGTAAGGGAAAAGTGTCTTTTCAGTGGTGACTGTGTTAAGCTTATGACTGTTCACTCTTTATATTAAATGTCAGCTCAATGAAGCCATGAGCAGAAAAGTGAACAAATTGAATACAAATACTTTATTTTTTTTTTTTTTTTGTTTGTGAATGATGGTTAACTTACCAGTGATGTATCCTGTCAAGCAGACAAAGTAATTTCTGCAGTAAACAGTGTTATTGTTTTTAAGTACAGTATTTTCAGGCATTGACATGTGAAAATAACTGAATAGCAAAACAGGTAGCATATGTTCATTCTTGACCTACACTCCAGTATGTAACATTTATGGTGATTGTCTTATTTGTATAAAACAAAGTTCTGTCAAATTAAGTGGAGAATTTTCATATAGAAGACTATATATTAGACTATATTCATCAGAAGAACGTATTAAGATTAAATAAATGATTAGAACAGTAATCAAACTGTCCTTTTTTTGTCTGGGAGCATAAAAGTGTAAGAAATACTTGCATGGAATGGTTGTTGTGAAACAATTGATGTGATTTCTTTCTGAAAACTAGTGGGTTTTGTTCACTTGAATCTTATCTGGTCTAAAGATCTCTGTTCCCTCCAGTGAGTGAGTTTGGTTTTGTTGCTGTGTTTAGTCACATGTTATAAATACTCTACTGTAAAAAAACCCAAACCAACCAAAACCTTGATGTAAAATCTTTCTTCCTAGAGTGCTTAACACCAGTAAGTATGTGAACAGTGCAGACTGCAGTAACTGGAGTAGCAGTGGGATAAGGTTGAGGCTAAACAGCACACATCTGTATTACATATGGGCAGGAGCTGTAAAAAGTTGATGTCACTGTAAAGAGTATCTAAACTGCTAAATAACATCACTTAAGCTCTAAATGTATGCTTCAGATTCTTCTCTGAAACTTGCTAAAAGGGAAAAAAATATGAGCTTTTGTGCACTCATACAGCTTTTTCTTAAATTATTTGCAAACAAAATAATAAAGAATTCTCTTGACTGGCAGCAAGTAGAAATTGCTTCTGAGTGAACCTGTGTCCTGTTAGATGCATACGGGCTTTGATTTCTTGCAGGGAAATGCCGTCAAATTTCTGTGTTATCCAAAAGCCACTTCATGTCTGTGTTAGTAGTGTTTCTAGGGTGCATGCAGAAACCTCACAATTAACTTTTGGTTCATGTAGCACCTTGCTTTCCAACAGCAGTCATCTGTGGATGATGAACACAAGTGCTGTGTCTACCTTCAAAGGAAAGGGAATGGGTCAGTTCTCCCAGTGAAGTGGTGGGCTATTCCACAGGTCCTAGTTCAGCTGTAGTGAACCTAACAGACTATTTTCAGTTAAAATAATTGGCCAAACAATGAAAAGTTAGGAAATTCAATTCCTTCTACTTTATTTGAAAGTCAAATTTCTGTTACTGCACAGTGCGTGGGCCAGTTTTTAGCCTCTGGTTAAATATTATCACCCTGAACAAGGCCATACAGTCTCTGACATGGTCTTCCCTCCCGAACTTCACGCTGCCCATTCTTTTTTTCCTCTCTGCATCCCACCCTCCTGATCAGGAATAATTTATCTGTCAAGTTCACTGACAGTCCAGGCAGCTGCTCAGAAGCCTGATTGCAAGTCTAGTGTATGCAACTGTCAAAGTTACAAACACAACCACTAAATACAGTTATGTCTGTAGTGAGCCTTTTTCCAGGGTCATCTGGGTCTTGGCATGGTAGTTGGAATTCCTTCTTAAGAAGCTGAAGTGGCCGACAGCAGCCGCATGCTGTGGTGACAATCATGTTCTCAACATTCAGCCTGTTTGGAAGAGAGGAAGAATGAGCTGGCATTTGTATACAGAATTTTAGGCTTCGGGCTTTTCAAGTATTTCCACTTTTTTTTTTCCTGTGGTAGGAGGTTCAGAGGAAAGAGCACAACACTCAGCTTAATGGTTCTGTCAGCTAGAGAACTACAAACAGTGCAGCAAGCGACTGAAGTTCTCATGATGGGTGCTGCAAGAGCTCAGGTGTACTGAGCTGCTGCCTTCCTTTTTAAGAGAGGGTGTTCTTGTCATCTATTAGGTCTCAGACCTCACTGGAAAACTAGTAAGATTTGACTTCCCTGTTCTTTGGACTTCTGAACATTGTAAAGTAACTGTGGATTCAATCTTTTTAAAGCTGTGCACTGGACTACTTAGAATTTGCAAAAGGTCTCTGGTATGGTCTGTTAACACAAATGCTAAATTGTGTGTGTTCCCTTTGCATGGTTCATGGAGGAAGGAAAATCCCTTTCTTCCTCTGAGCAGTTAGCACCAGAATCTAATTAAGCTGGTGACTGCATAGTAATATCAGTTGTGGGTTGTGAGGTCAGTTAACAAAGCCACAGTAGACTTGCACGTATCTTGCTGACTTCACAGTAAAGCAGCACACGTAGGTGAAGTGACTGCTTGAACAGGCAGGCGAGGCTTTGAGTCTTTCACGATGCTGCTGTTCTCTTATGCTGTTGATTTCTGACAGTGTTCAGCCTACTGCTGGACTTGGTTCTATCTTTCTCTTTGTCAGTGGGAAGCAGTATAAAGGTAGGCTAGAATTCAGGTATGTGAACAAGAAAGTTAAGGAAAAAATCTATTTTTTTAAAATCTCCTTTGCAGGGAAGAAAAGTTTGCTTGGTTTCAGTTAAAGTTGGGTTTTAACTACAACTTTCTAAATAATTGTGACAAACCTTAACTCTAAAAAACTTCTGCCAGGGTTCACAGCCCTTATGAATATTCTCAGGATACAAAGTCAGTCACTCAGATTTTAAAAGGCTGGGGGACACCTGAACTTGCTTTGAAGGGGATAGCTTTTAGCTTCAGGATTAATTTAAATTAGTTATTGCAAAGGCAAAACTCTTTGTTGCTTTTCTTCTTGAACATAGTATTGGCTTGGGTTGTTGGGAATTTAACAATTTTAATTTTTTCCCCCAAGTAATTGTGAACTCTAATACTGCGACACTAAGTTTAGTTGTTTTGAAGCCTTGATTTTCTGTTGAATAGTCTCCTACTGGGCAAGCAGAACTGCACAGGCTCAGACAGCACACTTGTAATTATAAAATATACCTGAATTACATTCATAGGAGAATGTTATGAAACAACTGAAGTAACATTATGTACCCTAGATGAAATTTCTTATTTTACTGTCTTAGCTATTTGAAAGCAGGTATTTGTAGTCTAAACAACCTTTTCCATCTTTAAAAAGCAAACAACTAAACAAAACCAAAATCCCAACAATCAAACCAACGAAATAGCCCCCCAAACCTGCAGCGTTGACGTCTGGTTATTTTTTTTTTTAAAAACAACAAAGACTTAAGAAAGTGAGATGACATTCCTTCTTTAGAATGTAATCCCTATACAGTAAATGACCTTATTAATGCTGGTTTTAGTTACCTGCTTTATATGGCAACATAATATATTACTGGGTGGATTCTAACCACATGTTCCTCCCTGACTTTTAAGGAGTAGTAGTTCATAAAATACCACTCCTTACAGATGACTAAGTAAGAAAAACAACTTCAGTACTCTACAGCCTCTGAGCTATCCTTACTTTGTTGAAGATGGACATGATCCTTCACATCGGCTTAAAGTGACATTTGCAGAACAGCCTTTGTAAGTTATTTTTTCTTCATATTCAACTTCTCTACAAGGATCTGTCAAATGTAAAAAAAGAGAAGGAATTATAGCAGAAATTTATCTTGGTCTTCTTGAGTGACCTTTGTTAGATGCCAAAAGCCTGCATACTTGGTTTCATGGAATACCATTCTTACTGCATGAGATAATTAACAAGTCACAAGTGAGTAACACAGCAAGAGGAGGTTTTAAACTGGGTGCTGAAGATGCATGAGACACTTATCATGGAGAACAACTAAGAACACAGAGATTGCTGGAATTACAAATGAGGAAAAAAATTCCTGTTAAGAACGTAGTGCAAATTCAGTCCAGCAGGAAAAAAACTAATCCTCTGCTGAGAACGTTAAGATGCACATAAAACAACCAGCTGTCTCGTTCTGGTGGAATTATTTCTGGTTCTCAGACTTTATAGTAGATCTTACTTCCTGGAAAAATGCTTAGCTTACTCATTTTAAGGGTGTAATTTTTTGTAGGCAGACAGAAGTTCACAACTTTCCTTACAAGACAGAATGCCTAATGCTACATACTGATGTACCAATCTCCTATTTTCTCCTGACTTGAAGCATGACTCTTAAACATTGTATGAAGCTAAAAGCTGACTGAAAACATAGGTTTTCCAAGGAGTTTAAACACAGTGTTTGAAGTTTATTTTAAGGAGAACAAAGATGTTGAATACTACAAAGGCAATTCACGCACCGCTCACACTTGGTCCTGCACAATTATCTCTTGAGCACAGTCAGGTTCCGTGGTTAAAGGTAGGTTATAGATGAAACATGAACACTATTGCAGGGAAGACTCAGTTAATACTGTAGTATATGTTTGGGAATTTCTTATTGGAAAATAAAACAACTAATAACTGGACAGTAGACTAAGACTGCAAGGAGCAAAGTCAGTAATGCTAGGTTGGGAATGTAATGTTTGGAAGCACTTCTCTTAGGAAAAGAATGTGAACAAAATCCAAAGCAGGCCCCTAAACCATAACTATACTGTGGAAAATCCTTCTGCTTATGAGAGTTCTTACTTGGATTCCCATTCTGTGAGGTGAAAATCATGAGGATGAAGGGCAAGCAGGGTCAAATCCTGCCTCCTTGGGTCAAACTGTCATTTCCCAATGCTCGAGCAGTCAGTCAATTTGAGGCTCTTTTCTGCTAAAACTGCAATGAGCCTCTTTGGTACTGCAGCACTTGTGTGACAGCAGGATGAAGGACAGACTTGCATTTAATCACTTCTCTGCAAGTAGGTAATTCTGCCATGCCTTGTGGCTGAGCTGACTGACCTGGCCAGGCTGCACTCTGACAATGTTACTGGTGGAAACAGAGATGAAAGGTTCAGCTACAAGTAACTGTACCCACTATTGTATATTGATTCTTACATCACTCTTTGAGAGTAGTAGTTAACCACAAATGCAGTTTTCTTACATGACTATTTGGAACCCTTTGTATAAATCAGTCTTCCGGATTAAGACTGATGTCTTGGTTGAATGGAGCATGGTATTCTGCTTTGTTCATTCTTCCTTCCTGTTAGAGTTCCTGGTTCAGTGGATCTGATTGTAATGACAAAATTAAGGACTTTGTGTGAGGATTCACAACAACTAAGGAAGTAGCATATTTGTCTGTGGAAAAGTTTTGAACACATGCTTCAAAGACAAAAAGATACAAAAACTTATAATCTCATTATTAAGCAGGGTAGAAAAGGGGCAGGCCTACTAGAATGCTGCATATCCCTCCTGATTCTTGAAAAAGATAAGGCAAGTGAAGAATGTGCTTTCTTTAGGAATTAAACACACAGAAAATGAGAACAAGCAGTGAAGTCAGTATATGACAGCGGCCAAGGCAATAGGGAACAAGGCAGTATGATGTGGCTAAAGTACACGTTCCAGATAGTTTCTCTGTATGTTGAAAGCTCCCAAAAGAGAATGCAAAGTGGCTCAAATTGAGATGTTAACTCTTCTCTTGGTCCTCAAACGGTAGTTAAAACAAATAAACACACAAAAATGAACCATACAGTAAACCTACCTTCCATTCATAGATTGAACAGTGCATGTGTCACTCTGGTTTATTCTTAGAAGGTGTTAACCCATATCCTAGAAAGCATTGAATAAAAACTGCCTCATTGTTTCTAAATAAGAGTAGAAACTAGGCCTCTGCTACTTATACAGGGCACAGCTAAAATCTTAGACACCTCTTGTTCCTGACTCCTATAGTGTGGATCCTAAAGTAGGACAGTTCCATTTCAAAGTAGTAGATAGATATTGCTTTGTGTGCATCACTTTACATGAAATGGTGTGGAAATGATAGAAAATGGTATTCCTTTAGTCAAAAACTATTAGGTGATTAATTATGCACAAGAACCAAAAAACATCTCTGTACCTTGAAAACTGTGAAAACAGTATCCAGCAGAAGAGAGAACAAAAATGCTGAACTGTGCAAAGTATATGACAGCTAACAAGAGGGCTGCAAGGTAAGTCAAAAGATACCTTTTATTTGAACAGGCTTTCTTACAGTGCTTTTGAAGATTAGAAAATAGAGGTTCTGTGACTCTCCTGATCTGCATCCTGTCAGACTCTTTAACTCATGCTTTTTAATGTCTACAGTATTGTATAGCAGGGAATCAGCTTATGAAATCTAAGGCATCAGACAACTACTCTACAAAAAGTAACTGCATAAGGGGCAAAAAGAAAAGATGGAGCCAATGGGTACAAATGGTAGCACAGATAAAGAATATGTAAAGAAAAAATTCATGCACTCATGAAAAAAAAAAGGTATTAAAAGCATGATATAGGAAATGCTATGGATATACATTACCATGTGGAACTGTCGATGGCACAATAGAAGACAAGGACGTTGAAAGTCTAGAGGTGAAAGAAGGAGATGATGTCGTGCGGGCAGTGGTTAATGTTGTTGTTCGCAAGGTGCTGCTTTCAGCCGACTCTGTAGAAGCAGTAGTGATCACAAGGGGAGCAAATGTCATTGCTGTAGATAAACCAGTCGGGACCAACACTGGAGTGGATTTGGCAGAGATACTGGTAGGAACGGCTAAGGAAGATGTTTTGCCATATGGAGGCAATGTGGTGTTTTGGAAAGAAGAATATGGAGTACTCTCAGCAGACCTAACTGTGGAAGTAGTGAGGGGTGTAGGTGTAGGCATTGTGCTGACGGTTGCAGACAAAGAAGAGAATGTAGATGAGGCAGTAGATGGCAGCCGGGTGCTGAGTGGGCTGCTGGGGGCAGGCGGAGAGCTGGGATTTGGAGATGCTGTTGTCAGAGGGAGTTCTGTGCTGCTTGGTGGGCTGGTCTCTGTGGAGACAGAGGTCTTGGAGGTGCTGCTGATGGAGGTGGCAGCCATGGTCTTCTGTGTGGTCAGAGTTGGCTCAATGTGTGGCACGGTTGACTTTTTATGTGTGATGGCTGCTGGGAAGAAAGCACAGGTCAGCTGAGGATGAGGGAAAGAGGGGGAGGGAAAGGAGGTGGGCTTACTGCCTTGGGCTAAGGCAATAAGCAAGAAAAGGAGCCCTATGTTGCACTGTGTATTCCCGTGAAAAGAGGGAGGTTTGGACTTCTGTCTCCATCCATAAGCCTCCACGTCACACTTCGACTCAGTCATGGCCCCTCGGTGTGCCAGGCAATGGTGGAGTGACCCTGGCTGAATGTAAAGTGCCCACCCAGCCTCTCACTCGCTCCCCCTCTTCAGGCATTGTGGAGAGAACTGCAAATACCAAAGCAAGAATATCCAAGTGCGTCTGGATCGAGACAGTTTTTAAAAGAGAAAAACTAAAGGGAAAATAAACCAAGACCCACCCACTCACTGAGGCAGTCACTCACTGCCTCACTCTGCTGGCCAATGCCCAGCCAGTCTCCAAGCAATGGCTACTTTTGAAAAAGTGCCCTGCCCCTCCATTGCACTGCTCAGCGTGACTTTCTGTGGTATGGAGTGTCTCCTTGGCCACTGGCTTTGGGCTATGCTGGCTGTGTCCTTGAGGGACCTCATAGCCACCCCTTGCCCACTCCCCGAGTGGCAGAAGGAGAAACAGAGAAGGCCTGGATGCTGTGCTAGCACTCCTCAGCAATCTCTAAAGCACTTGTGTGCCATCAACACTGGCTCGGACCTGCATCTAAAACAGAGCACCAGGAACCCTGCTAGGAACACAAATTGGCTCCACCCTAAGCAGAGTCATTGCACAGGCCCAGGACTACACCAGGAACCAGGCTGGCAGTGGGAATGGAAGGCTGAGTATTAAAACTAATGCACAAGTGGGGTATGGTTCTTAGATGGAATGCTAGAGGCAGAGATGGATAGATGGACAGATGGAAGGAAGGTAGCTGGGAAGAGTAGGTGGGAGCACCAGGAAGGTGGTTGTGAGCCTTACCAGGCTGTGAGGAGCTCAACCACGTTGAGGACACAGTTGAGGAGGGAGAAGGAGCAGGAGATGGCACTGTGCTGGTTTTGGCTGTGGTGGGTGCAGAGGACTCTGCTGCAGGAGACTCTTGTGGAGCACTTGTCACTGGAAACGAGGGCTTGGGCCTCAGGGTTGTAGGTGTAGGCCTGGGGCTGGTGCTTGGAGCTGCTGTGGAATAGACTGTGGAAGTGGGAGCAGATGGCAGCTGGGTGCTGAGTGGGCTGCTGGGGGCAGGTGGAGAGCTGGGATTTGGAGATGTTGTTGTCAGAGGGAGTTCTGTGCTGCTTGGTGGGCTGGTCTCTGTGGAGACAGAGGTCTTGGAGGTGCTGCTGATGGAGGTGGTAGCCGTGGTCTTCTGCGTGGTCAGCATTGGCTCAGTTGACTTTTTATGGGTGAAGGCTGTTGGGAGGAAAGCACAGGTCAGTTGAGGGTGAGAGCAAGAGGGGAAGGCAAAGCACGTGGGCCCAAGTCATGGGATACAAGCAAACATTGCAGTGCTGTCCTGCACTGATTCTTCCTGCAAAAGAGGGGGGACTGGGACTGTGGGTCCTGTCCAAAAGCTACTGTCCGATTTCTCCCCTACAAAGGGAGGAAATGGACAGGGTGCCTTCCTACAGGCAAGATCCCTCTGCCTCTTCCTGGAGGAGTATCCTTTCCATATGAACATGTCTATTCCTTCAAGGAATAGGCAGGGCATCAGGACTGTGGCCTATGAGACTGGAAGACAAGGCTACATGGGAGAGTCCAGTGCCCCATGGCCATACCAAAGGATGGCCATACCACAGTGCTGATGCAAAAAGGACTGGGAATGGAGAGCAAAAACTAAAACAACAGTGCAAGGCACATGCTCTGCTAGAAATGCAGATGGGAAAAAGGAGAGCAGGCAGAAGCAGTGGGATAGGTAGGAGGAGCCTTACCAGGCTGTGAGCTCAACCACGTCGAGGACACAGTTGAGGAGGGAGAAGGAGCAGGAGATGGCACTGTGCTGGTTTTGGCTGTGGTGGGTGCAGAGGACTCTACTGCAGGAGACTCCTGTGGAGCACTTGCCCTTGGGGATGAGGGCTTGGGCCTCAGGGTTGTAGGTGTAGGCCTGGGGCTGGTGCTTGGAGCTGCTGTGGAATAGACTGTGGAAGTGGGAGCAGATGGCAGCCGGGTGCTGAGTGGGCTGCTGGGGGCAGGTGGAGAGCTGGGATTTGGAGATGTTGTCAGAGGGAGTTCTGTGCTACTTGGTGGGCTGGTTTCTGTGGAGACAGAGGTCTTGGAGGTGCTGCTGATGGAGGTGGCAGCTGTGGTCTTCTGTGTGGTCAGCGTTGGCTCAGTGTGGGGCTCAGTTGACTTTTTATGGGTGAAGGCTGTTGGGAGGAAAGCACAGGTCAGTTGAGGATGAGGGCAACATGGGAAGGGAAAGGAGGTGAGCAGAAGTCTTGGATTAAGGCATTGCATAAGAAAAGGAGCCCTGTATCACACTGAGTGTCCTTGGCCACGAGGGAAGATTGGGCTTCTTGCTCCCTACTGAAGCCTCCATGTCCTGCTTAGAGCCTTTCATGGCCAATGAGTGTGGCCAGGTGTTGGTGGGGTGACCTGGCCGGATGCAAAGTGCCTACCCAGCCACTCACTCGCCCTCATCAGACATGGAGAGAGAAGTGAAGAGGCCAAAGCAAGGGTACACAAGTGTGTTTGGAGAGAGAGAGAGTTTTTAGAAGAGAAGAAACTAAAGGAAAAATTAACCAAGACCCACTCACGAGGTGCAAAAGCAGTCACTCACTGCCTCACTCTGCTGGCCAATGCCCAGCCAATTTCCAAGCAATGGCTACTTTTGAAAAAGTGCCCTGCCCCTCCATTACACTGCTCAGCGTGACTTTCTGTGGTATGGAGTGTCTCCTTGGCCACTGGCTTTGGGCTATGCTGGCTGTGTCCTCGAGGGACCTCATGGCCACCCCCTGCCCACTCCCCGAGTGGCAGAAGGAGAAACAGAGAAGGCCTGGATGCTGTGCTAGCACTCCTCAGCAATCTCTAAAGCACTTGTGAGCCATCAACACTGGCTTGGACCTGCATCTAAAACAGAGCACCAGGAACCCTGCTAGGAACACAAATTGGCTCCACCCCAAGCAGAGTCATTGCACAGGCCCAGGACTACGCCAGGAACCAGGCTGGCCAAAGGCAGTGGGAATAGATGGCCAAGCATGCAAAGAAATGTGCAACGGAGATCTGGTTCTCAGATGGAAGGATACAGGGAAGGAGAGAAAGAAGGGAGGGATAGAGGGATGGACGGAGCAACAAAGGGAGGGAGTGATAGAGTGAGCTGGGAAAAGCAGGCAGGAGAGGTTCAGAGGAGGGATACAAAGATGATCAGTGGAGAGACTTGGGGAGCTGGGCCTGTTGAGACCAGAGAAGAGAAGGCTGAGAGGGGATCTCATCACTGTATACAAATATCTCAAAGGCAGGTGTCAAGAGCATGGTGGCAGACTCTTTCAGTGGTGCCCACTGACTGGACAAGAAGCAATGGCCATGGAGTAAAGCACAAGAAATTCCACCTAACCTGAGGAACAACTCCATTATGTTGAGGGTGGCAGAGCAGTGGAACAGGCTCCCCAGGGAGATTGTGAAACCTCCCTCTCTGGAGACATTCAAAACCCACCAGAATGAAATCCAGTGTAACCTGCACTAAGAGACCCCTTCTTGGCAGGCAGGTAATGATGTCCAGATGTCCATTCCAACGCTAAGAATTCTGGGATTCTGTGAGCAGCAGGACACGTAACAGGAAGCCTTACCAGGCTGTGTGGAGCTCAGCAATGTCGAGGACACAGTTGAGGAGGGAGAAGGAGCAGGAGATGGCACTGTGCTGGTTTTGGCTGTGGTGGGTGCAGAGGACTCTGCTGCAGGAGACTCTTGTGGAGCACTCGTCACTGGGGAGGAGGGCTTGGGCCTCAGGGTTGTAGGTGTAGGCCTGGGGCTGGTGCTTGGAACTGCTGTGGAATAGACTGTGGAAGTGGGAGCAGATGGCAGCCAGGTGCTGAGTGGGCTGCTGGGGGCAGGTGGAGAGCTGGGATTTGGAGATGTTGTTGTCAGAGGGAGTTCTGTGCTGCTTGGTGGGCTGGTCTCTGTGGAGACAGAGGTCTTGGAGGTGCTGCTGATGGAGGTGGTAGCCGTGGTCTTCTGCGTGGTCAGAGTTGGCTCAATGTGTGGCTCAGTTGACTTTTTATGGGTGAAGGCTGTTGGGAGGAAAGCACAGGTCAGTTAAGGATGAGGGCAACATGGGAAGAGAAATGAGATGGGTATAAGTTTCGAATTGGAAGTATGAGTAAAAATGGCAGCACTGGGCTGCAGAAAGTATTCCTGGTAAAGGGGAGAATTGGGGCTCTGGGTTCTCCCTAAAAGCTGCATTTATTTTGTCCTCTAACTAGTGTGGAAAAGGAGAAGGTGCCTTCCAACAGCCAAGATCGCTCTGCCTCTTCCTGGAAAAGTATCCTATCCAGATGTGCATGTCACCCTTCAATGAATAGGTAGGTTCTAAGGACTGCTGACTCCAAGCCTCTAAGACCAGGCTTACAGGGGCCAGACCAGTGACCCATGGCCATGGTGAAGGACAGCCATATCATATTGATGATGCTAAAAGAAGTGGGAATGGAGGGCAAATTCAAAAGAACAACAGTGCAAGTGTTCTGCACTGCTAGAATGAAGAAGGGAAAAGGGAGAGCAGGCAGAAGCATTGAGACATAAAGGAGTGGGACTTACCAGGCTGTGAGGAGCTCAGCAATGTTGAGGACACAGTTGAGGAGGGAGAAGGAGCAGGAGATGGCACTGTGCTGGTTTTGGCTGTGGTGGGTGCAGAGGACTCTGTTGTAGGAGACTTTTGTGGAGCACTTGTGGGGGACGAGGGCTTGGACCTCAGGGTTGTAGGTGTAGGCCTGGGGCTGGTGCTTGGAGCTGCTGTGGAATAGACTGTGGAAGTGGGAGCAGATGGCAGCCGGGTGCTGAGTGGGCTGCTGGGGGCAGGTGGAGAGCTGGGATTTGGAGATGTTGTTGTCAGAGGGAGTTCTGTGCTGCTTGGTGGGCTGGTTTCTGTTGAAACAGAGGTCTTGGAGGTGCTGCTGATGGAGGTTGCGGCTGTGGTCTTCTGCGTGGTCAGAGTTGGCTCAATGTGCGGCACGGTTGACTTTTCATGGGTGAAGGCTGCCATGTAGAAAGCACAAGTCAGTTGAGGATGAGGGAAAGAGGGAAGGTAAAGGAGGTGGGCACAATGCCTTGTATTGGGGGCATGAGCAAAAATGGCAGCACTGTTTATTCCTGGGAAAGAGGGCAGACTGGGACTGTTTCTCCCCAAAAAAGGATCTTGCCTGTTGGTGCTTTCCAACAGGCAAGATCCCTCTGCCTCTTCCTGGAAAAGGACCGTTTTCTTGACGTGCATGTCTATTCCTTCATGGAATAGGCAGAGTCTATGGACTGCTGAATCCAAGACTCAAAGGCCAGGCTATGTGGGAGAGACCAGTGTCACATGGCAATACCAAAGTGAGGCCACACTACAGTGCCAATAGGAAAAGAATGGGGAGTGGAGAGCAAAAACTAAAAGAACAGTGCAAGTGACCTGCACTGCTAGAAATGAAGATGGGAAAAAGGAGAGCAGGTAGAAGCAGTGAGATAGGTAGGAGGAGCCTTACCAGGGTGTGAGGAGCTCAGCAATGTTGAGGACACAGTTGAGGAGGGAGAAGGAGCAGGAGATGGCACTGTGCTGGTTTTGGCTGTGGTGGGTGCAGAGGACTCTGCTGCAGGAGACTCCTGTGGAGCACTTGTCACTGGAAATGAGGGCTTGGGCCTCAGGGTTGTAGGTGTAGGCCTGGGGCTGGTGCTTGGAGCTGCTGTGGAATAGACTGTGGAAGTGGGAGCAGATGGCAGCCGGGTGCTGAGTGGGCTGCTGGGGGCAGGTGGAGAGCTGGGATTTGGAGATGTGTTGTCAGAGGGAGTTCTGTGCTGCTTGGGGGGCTGGTCTCTGTTGAAACAGAGGTCTTGGAGGTGCTGCTGATGGAGGTGGCAGCTGTGGTCTTCTGTGTGGTCAGAGTTGGCTCAATGTGTGGCTCAGTTGACTTTTTATGGGTGAAGGCTGTTGGGAAGAAAGCACAGGTCAGTTGAGGACGAGGGCAGAGGGTAAGACAAGGGAGGTGGGCAGAAGCCTTGGGCTAATACATTGGGTAAGAAAAGCAGCGCCATATCACACTGAGACTTTTGTCCAAGATGGAAGATTGGGCTTCTGGGTCCTTTCTGAAGCCTCCACGTCCTGATTAGATCCCTGTCATGGCCAATGTGTGTGGGGTGACCTGGCTGGATGCAATATGCCTACCCAGCCACTCACTCGCCCTCATCAGACATGGGGAGAGAAGTGAAGAGGCCAAAGCAAGGGTACACAAGTGTGTCTGGAGAGAGAGAGAGTTTTTAGAAGAGAAGAAACTAAAGGAAAAATTAACCAAGACCCACTCACGAGGTGCAAAAGCAGTCACTCACTGCCTCACTCTGCTGGCCAATGCCCAGCCAATCTCCAAGCAATGGCTACTTTTGAAAAAGTGCCCTGCCCCTCCATTACACTGCTCAGCGTGACTTTCTGTGGTATGGAGTGTCTCCTTGGCCACTGGCTTTGGGCTATACTGGCTGTGTCCTCGAGGGACCTCATGGCCACCCCCTGCCCACTCCCCGAGTGGCAGAAGGAGAAACAGAGAAGGCCTGGATGCTGTGCTAGCACTCCTCAGCAATCTCTAAAGCACTTGTGTGCCATCAACACTGGCTTGGACCTGCATCTAAAACAGAGCACCAGGAACCCTGCTAGGAACACAAATTGGCTCCACCCCAAGCAGAGTCATTGCACAGGCCCAGGACTACGCCAGGAACCAGGCTGGCCAAAGGCAGTGGGAATAGATGGCCAAGCATGCAAAGAAATGTGCAACGGAGATCTGGTTCTCAGATGGAAGGATACAGGGAAGGAGAGAAAGAAGGGAGGGATAGAGGGATGGACGGAGCAACAAAGGGAGGGAGTGATAGAGTGAGCTGGGAAAAGCAGGCAGGAGAGGTTCAGAGGAGGGATACAAAGATGATCAGTGGAGAGACTTGGGGAGCTGGGCCTGTTGAGACCAGAGAAGAGAAGGCTGAGAGGGGATCTCATCACTGTATACAAATATCTCAAAGGCAGGTGTCAAGAGCATGGTGGCAGACTCTTTCAGTGGTGCCCACTGACTGGACAAGAAGCAATGGCCATGGAGTAAAGCACAAGAAATTTCACCTAACCTGAGGAACAACTCCATTATGTTGAGGGTGGCAGAGCAGTGGAACAGGCTCCCCAGGGAGATTGTGAAACCTCCCTCTCTGGAGACATTCAAAACCCACCAGACTGAATTCCAGTGTAACCTGCACTAAGAGACCCCTTCTTGGCAGGCAGGTAATGATGTCCAGATGTCCATTCCAACGCTAAGAATTCTGGGATTCTGTGAGCAGCAGGACACGTAACAGGAAGCCTTACCAGGCTGTGTGGAGCTCAGCAATGTCGAGGACACAGTTGAGGAGGGAGAAGGAGCAGGAGATGGCACTGTGCTGGTTTTGGCTGTGGTGGGTGCAGAGGACTCTGCTGCAGGAGACTCCTGTGGAGCACTTGTCACTGGAAATGAGGGCTTGGGCCTCAGGGTTGTAGGTGTAGGCCTGGGGCTGGTGCTTGGAGCTGCTGTGGAATAGACTGTGGAAGTGGGAGCAGATGGCAGCCGGGTGCTGAGTGGGCTGCTGGGGGCAGGTGGAGAGCTGGGATTTGGAGATGTTATTGTCAGAGGGAGTTCTGTGCTGCTTGGTGGGCTGGTCTCTGTGGAGACAGAGGTCTTGGAGGTGCTGCTGATGGAGGTTGCGGCCGTGGTCTTCTGCGTGGTCAGAGTTGGCTCAGTGTGTGGCTCAGTTGACTTTTTATGGGTGAAGGCTGTTGGGAGGAAAGCACAGGTCACTTAAGGATGAGGGCAACATGGGAAGAGAAAGGAGATGGGTATAAGTTTCGAATTGGAAGTATGAGTAAAAATGGCAGCACTGGGCTGCAGAAAGTATTCCTGGTAAAGGGGAGAATTGGGGCTCTGGGTTCTCCCTAAAAGCTGCATTTATTTTGTCCTCTAACTAGTGTGGAAAAGGAGAAGGTGCCTTCCAACAGCCAAGATCGCTCTGCCTCTTCCTGGAAAAGTATCCTATCCAGATGTGCATGTCACCCTTCAATGAATAGGTAGGTTCTAAGGACTGCTGACTCCAAGCCTCTAAGGCCAGGCTTACAGGGGCCAGACCAGTGACCCATGGCCATGGTGAAGGACAGCCATATCATATTGATGATGTTAAAAGAATTGGGAATGGAGGGCAAATTCAAAAGAACAACAGTGCAAGTGTTCTGCTAGAATGAAGAAAGGAAAAGGAAGAGCAGGTAGAAGCACTGAGACATAAAGGAGTGGGACTTACCAGGCTGTGAGGAGCTCAGCAATGTTGAGGACACAGTTGAGGAGGGAGAAGGAGCAGGAGATGGCACTGTGCTGGTTTTGGCTGTGGTGGGTGCAGAGGACTCTGTTGTAGGAGACTCTTGTGGAGTACTTGTAGGGGAAGAGGGCTTGGACCTCAGGGTTGTAGGTGTAGGCCTGGGGCTGGTGCTTGGAGCTGCTGTGGAATAGACTGTGGAAGTGGGAGCAGATGGCAGCCGGGTGCTGAGTGGGCTGCTGGGGGCAGGTGGAGAGCTGGGATTTGGAGATGTTGTTGTCAGAGGGAGTTCTGTGCTGCTTGGTGGGCTGGTCTCTGTGGAGACAGAGGTCTTGGAGGTGCTGCTGATGGAGGTTGCGTCCGTGGTCTTCTGCGTGGTCAGAGTTGGCTCAGTGTGTGGCTCAGTTGACTTTTTATGGGTGAAGGCTGTTGGGAGGAAAGCACAGGTCAGTTGAGGGTGAGGGCAGGAGGCAAAGGCAGAGGAGGTTGGCACAATGCCTTGTACTGTGAGCAAAAATGGCAGCACTTATGCTACACTGATTATTCCTGGGAAAGAGGGCAGACTGGGACTGTTTCTCCCCCGAAAAAAATCTTGCCTGTTCGTGCTTACCAACAGGCAATATCCCTCTGCCTCTTCCTAGAAAAGGATCTTTTCCAGATGTGCATGTCTATTCCTTCATGGAATACGCAGTCTAAGGGTTGCCCACTCTGAGACTGGAAAGCCAGGCTATGAGGGAGAGAGCTGTGACTTATGGCAATATCAAAATGAGGCCACACTACAGTTCAGTTGTGAAAAAAATGGGGAAAGGAGAGAAAAAACTAAAACAACAGTGCAAGGCACATGCTCTGCGAGAAGGGAAGAAGGGAAAAGGGAGATCAGGCGGAAGCAGCGAGACAAAAAAGAGCTGGGTATTACCAGGCTGTGTGGAGCTCAGCAATGTCGAGGACACAGTTGAGGAGGGAGAAGGAGCAGGAGATGGCACTGTGCTGGTTTTGGCTGTGGTGGGTGCAGAGGACTCTGCTGCAGGAGACTCTTGTGGAGCACTCGTCACTGGAAATGAGGGCTTGGGCCTCAGGGTTGTAGGTGTAGGCCTGGGGCTGGTGCTTGGAGCTGCTGTGGAATAGACTGTGGAAGTGGGAGCAGATGGCAGCCGGGTGCTGAGTGGGCTGCTGGGGGCAGGTGGAGAGCTGGGATTTGGAGATGTTGTTGTCAGAGGGAGTTCTGTGCTGCTTGGTGGGCTGGTCTCTGTGGAGACAGAGGTCTTGGAGGTGCTGCTGATGGAGGTGGCAGCTGTGGTCTTCTGTGTGGTCAGCGTTGGCTCAGTGTGGGGCTCAGTTGACTTTTTATGGGTGAAGGCTGTTGGGAAGAAAGGAGGGTCAAGTGAGGATGAGGGCAAGAGGGGAAGGCAGGGGAAGTTAAGCTCAAAGCCCTGTACTGTGAGCATAAGCAAAAATGGCAGCACTGTGCTACACTGATTATTCCTGTGAACGACAGAGGACTGGGACTGTGGGTCCTGTCTTCAAGCGGCTGCCTGGTTTCTCCTGTACAAAGGGAGGAAATGGACAGGGTGCCTTCTTATAGGTAAGATTCCCCCGCCTCTTTCTAGAAAAGGATCCTTTCTGCATATGCATATCTAGGCCTTCATGGAACAGGCAGAGTGTATGGACTGCCGACTCTGAGATTCAAAGGCCAGGCTATGTGGGAGAGACCAGTGTCACATGGCAGTACCAAAGTGAGGCCACACTACAGTGCCAATGGGAAAAAATCGGGAATGGAGAGCAAAAAATAAAACAACAGTGCAAGGCACATGCTCTGCGAGAAGGGAAGAAGGGAAAAGGGAGATCAGGCGGAAGCAGTGAGATAGGTAGGAGGCGCCTTACCAGGGTGTGAGGAGCTCAGCAATGTTGAGGACACAGTTGAGGAGGGAGAAGGAGCAGGAGATGGCACTGTGCTGGTTTTGGCTGTGGTGGGTGCAGAGGACTCTGCTGCAGGAGACTCTTGTGGAGCACTTGTCACTGGAAACGAGGGCTTGGGCCTCAGGGTTGTAGGTGTAGGCCTGGGCCTGGTGCTTGGAGCTGCTGTGGAATAGACTGTGGAAGTGGGAGCAGATGGCAGCCGGGTGCTGAGTGGGCTGCTGGGGGCAGGTGGAGAGCTGGGATTTGGAGATGTTGTCAGAGGGAGTTCTGTGCTGCTTGGAGGGCTGGTCTCTGTGGAGACAGAGGTCTTGGAGGTGCTGCTGATGGAGGTGGCAGCTGTGGTCTTCTGTGTGGTCAGCGTTGGCTCAGTGTGGGGCTCAGTTGACTTTTTATGGGTGAAGGCTGTTGGGAAGAAAGGAGGGTCAAGTGAGGATGAGGGCAAGAGGGGAAGGCAAAGGAGGTTAAGCTCAAAGCCCTGTACTGTGAGCATAAGCAAAAATGGCAGCACTGTGCTACACTGATTATTCCTGGGAAAGAGGGAGGACTAAGACTGCAGGTCCTGTCCACAAGCTGCTGCCTGGTTTCTTCCTGAAAAACAGAGGAAATGGACAGGGTGTGTTCCTACAGGTAAGATCCCTCTCCCTCATCCTAGAAAAGGATCTTTTCCAGATGTGCATGTCTATTCCTTCATGGAATACGCAGTCAAGGGTTGCCCACTCTGAGACTGGAAAGCCAGGCTATGAGGGAGTGAGCTGTGACTTTTGGCAATACCAAAGTGAGGCCACACTACAGTGCTGATGGAAAAGAAGGGGGAATGGAGAGCAAGAAGTAAAACAGTGCAAGTGACCAGCACTGTTAGAAATGAAGAAGGGAAAAGGGAGAGCAGGCAGAAGCAGTGAGACAAAAAAGAGCTGGGTCTTACCAGGCTGTGAGGAGCTCAGCCACGTTGAGGACACAGTTGAGGAGGGAGAAGGAGCAGGAGATGGCACTGTGCTAGTTTTGGCTGTGGTGGGTGCAGAGGACTCTGCTGCAGGAGACTCTTGTGGAGCACTTGTCACTGGAAACGAGGGCTTGGGCCTCAGGGTTGTAGGTGTAGGCCTGAAGCTGGTGCTTAGAACTGCTGTGGAATAGACTGTGGAAGTGGGAGCAGATGGCAGCCGGGTGCTGAGTGGGCTGCTGGGGGCAGGTGGAGAGCTGGGATTTGGAGATGTTGTTGTCAGAGGGAGTTCTGTGCTGCTTGGTGGGCTGGTCTCTGTGGAGACAGAGGTCTTGGAGGTGCTGCTGATGGAGGTTGCGGCTGTGGTCTTCTGTGTGGTCAGAGGTTGCTCAGTGTGTGGCTCAGTTGACTTTTTATGGGTGAAGGCTGTTGGGAGGAAAGCACAGGTAGGTCAGTTGTATGTTGCTGATTTGACGAGAAGTTGGGTGACTTCTACAGTTCCAGAATTGGCAAGGGAGGAGGATGCAGTCAGGGTCATGTGTTGGTCAGTCCTATGACCTGCTGGTATCCCACGGGATTAACAGTGGGAATTGGGTACAATACCAAAACTGAGGCCTTTGTGGGACACAGGCTGCCTAGGAGAGAATGATGGGATCTGGAAGAAGCAGACAGAGCAGCAGGAAGGGCATGAGGAAGCCTTACCAGGATGTGATGTTCCCAGCCATGTCGAGGACCCAGTTGAGGAGAGGGAAGAAGCAGATGAGGCTGAGGTGGCAGGCAAAGAGCTCGGGCTTGGAGATGTCCTTGCCAGTGGAACTCCTGGGCTGGTGGCAGGACTGGTCTCTCTTGGGACAGAGGTGCTGCTGGTGGACGTGGCAGGGGTGGTCTGTGTCTGAGAGACAAGATGCTGCACAGGCTGTGTCAACGTTCTTATGTGGGTGACAACTACAGAGAGAAAAGCACAAGTTGATTGGAGGTGGCAGGGCAAGAAGGGAAGGCAAAGGAGGTAGACAATTCCCAGGCAGAACCCCCAGGGTATGGGGTAGGAGTAAGAAAGACAGAACTAGACCCCACTGAGTCTTACTGGGCAAGAGGGAAAAATAGGCCAATTGATCTCCCCTCAAAAAATATGGGGCAAAACTGGGCCTGAAGTGTGCCCTCTGACAATTCAGCACCCCCTGCCTTTTTCTGAAGCTCCTCAGAAGAGCCTCTCTTGACACGCATGTTTCCTCTCCCAGGTATTCCAGATTGGGCAAGAATATCACCTGGAAAAGCTGGGGAAAGTGAAGCAGAGCCTTAGACTAAGGGCATCTGTCTACTCCCTCTTACCTTCTAGTTGGTGCAGAGTGGTTGTTTGGATTTCCTCACTGCCTGTAAGGTAAGTAAGTAAGAATGAATATTAGTAATGTCTGGAAAGGTTCCTAGACGAAGCTGTAATTGCTGGCACAAGGAGCTCCAGATGTATGCACCCCAACAGTACTTTGTGGGAGACACATGGACTGGGAGAGAGTGTACACCTGCCCTCCCACTACAGCAGAATTCCCACCACACACCGTCCCAACCTCTGGTGTCAGTTGCTAACCCAGTAATTCATGTTGCCATACAGTCTCAGAGGAGACTGTCCTTGTTGGTATATTGAGTGCCAGACAGAAAAAAAAATCCTTTTATTTAATATTTATTGTTGGGAGTACTTGTTACATTGGCTAGGGAGAATATATATTCTGTGGTCTGCGGGTTTTCAAGAACTTGCCTTGAGACATGAGAGATTTTGTCTAAATTTGGAGGAAATGTTGGAAGAGAAATGTTAGGTTTAAGATCATATCTGGATGTCAAATGCTTGCTCCATTGGCAAGACAAATTTCCATTTTAATCATGCTTCTTCAGTTATCCTTGTCCTCTCCTATCTATTTGCAACGTTAAGACCACTAGTAAGAATGCTTGGGGTTTTTTGACTAAGTAATAAATTGACATATGTCTTGTGAGTGATGGTGTCACCTGGCAGATACCAAAAAGTGATATTTACCTGCTGTTGTTAGTTTAGGCTCGCTGAAAGTTATGCTCTGAGACAGGGTTTGAGTAGGCAATGAGGAGGTTGTCATTTCCTTTTTGGTAGTGGTCTTGAAGGATGGGGAGGTGAACCGTACTTGTTCTGTCTCTGTTGAAGCAGCAGTTGATGAGGCAGCAGGTGTAGACCTTGGTATAGTGGTCATGGTTCTCTTTGTTGTGGTAGTTATGGAAGGAGTAGTGATGGTTGTAGTCATGTTCGGTGTGGTAGAAATTGATGTTGTATGTTCTTTTGGGGTAAAGGTAAATAGTACAGTGTGAGTAATCAATTCATAGAATAATTAAAAATAGATAAATTATGAAGAAAATACCCATATTTTAGAGACCCTTTTTCACCTTGATCTTTTGACTATTTTCAGCATTGTTGTTGCACTCATGTTCTCAAAAGCTTGTCAAATATTTCTGTACTTATATGTGTTTTCTATTGTCTCGTGTCTGTCTTTCTTCTCAGTTTCTGTATTTTTCCTGTACTAGATTTTTTTTTAATATAATTTTTCTAAGAAGTTAGCTTTGTTGTCACTTATTGACTACAGTCTGTATGGGCTTTGCCCAAATCACATTTCATTGGCTACTATTATGTTCCAAATCAGCCCCAGTTTCAGCTTTCTGTAATTCATATTAAAAAGTTAAGTAACATTATACTATAGGACTTCCTTGTCCCAGTGTTCAAATTATCTGTCATCATGTCAGTTTTTGAATCCTTTGGGACCTCTTTTTAACTCTGCTTTCCCTGATAGCCAGGGTCCAAGACGGTTAATTAGCTGAAGTGCAAGTTGGTGTGAGGCTAAATGAGTCTCCACAAGCCACAGAATCAGAAAGTAATTTATGTTGGCAGAGTAATCCTCCTGAGAGCAGGACTCTAGAAACCTAGACAAAGCTGCTACACTAATACCTGTGTGATTCTGCTTTGGGCTTCCTTACATTATTCAGAGCTAATAGACTGGTTGCTCCTTGAATATGACTGCATAACTGAATCAACTGTGGAAAAGAAGCTGAAGCTGAGCTAATAAATCTAACTGGATCTGGGCTGGCTCACTGCTTATAGAACTTCTAATGTGCTTCTCAGATGAGTCAAACAAGTGACTTTTGGTTATGTTTTTAACCTAGTGTCTATATCCTTTATCTTTCCACGCATTTTTGATCTACACTTCTGAACATTTCTGGCTGACAAACTCCTTTCTGGAAGCCTGTTTTGCCTACCTCACGATTTGGAGTCTAATGCTTGGAAGCTGTACAAGTCTGCAATTCTTTCCTAGGAAGTGGTATCTCGATTATGTATAGAGTGAGCTTACTGTAATTTATTTTAGACAGTAACACTAAAAACCTACCAGTTGCTGACTTCGTTGTGACAAGAGGTTGTATGGGTGAAGTTCTCGGAACTGTAGTTTTTGCAGTTATTGTTGGATTTGTAATCTCAGTTGATATAGCAGTTGTAGAAGCACTAGGTACTGTTGGTAGGGTGCTTGCAGCAGAGCTTCCTGTTACTTTAGGCTGCACTGTTGTTACTAAGAGAAAAAAATCAAAATGAAAGGACAAGAAATAGTCCTCAATAGTCTATTTATAATGTACCTATATGAATTGAATTTTTTTAAGTATAAACACTGTTTTTATAACTATTAGCGGTAACTACTATTAACACATTTCAGGTGAAGCCTTTTAGATGAAGCCTTTGAGAGCAGTTATCCATTGCTTCCTTTGCTATTATGTGCAGTGAATATATTAAACAGGTATTCATGCAGAAGCTTTATACCTTTTTCTTCATTTGAAGTGAATTTGGCATAAATATTTGTGCATATCAGCAGAAATGGAATAGTATTTTATTATCCACACAACCCACAGTGTAATATTTTCCAATACCATCTGTCTTCAAGGAAATTAATGGAATTTCTAACAAATTTAAGATCACTGTATATAGGTTCCTTTCCTATATGAGGCTATAGGGATTTGGTATAGTCAGTCATACATTTCCATGAAGACCTTAAATTGTTGAAGTGTTATATCATCAGTCACTCTGCAGCGAGCAGGGACATCTTCAACTAGATCAGGTTACTCAAAGCCCAGTCTAGCCTGCTCTTGAATGCTTCCAGGGATGTGGCATCTACAGCCTCTTTGGGTAACCTCTTCCAATGTTTTACCACCCTCATAATAAACAATTTCTTCCTTATATCTACTCTTAATCTACTCTCTTCTAGTTTAAAACCATTACCCGTTGTTCCATCACAACAGGCCCTACTAAAAAGTCTGTGTCTATCGTTCTTATAAGCCCCATTCAAGTACTGAAAAGCTGCAATGAGGTCTCACTGGAGCCTTGTCTTCCCCAGGCCAAACAACGCCAGGCCTCTCACCCTTTCCTCATAGGAGAGGTGTTACAGCCCTCTGATCATCTTTCTGACCCTCCACTGTCTGGAACTGAGAACTGCACAGCACTCCAGGTGGGCTCTCATCAGAGCAGAGGGGCAGAATCACTTCCCTTGGCCTGCTGGCCACGCTGCTTTTGATGCAGCCCAGCATATTATGGTACCAGGTCATTTTTCATCATTGCATCTTATGCACGTGAAACTGGTGATGCTACTATAAAATGCAAAAAAAGATATCACTGACTTTGTAAACACTTATCAGGACATAATATCAGTATGTAAATATTGGTTGGGTCAACTGTGTAAACTAACCTGGTGAAGGTGAAGATGTTTCAAGTGTGGTGCTAGTGCTTTCTTCTCCTGTTGTGTAAAGGTAGAACAGGTTAAGTTTGTGAATAAAAGCATATTAAAATATTCCAAATAAGGCAAATTTCAGACTGGATTCAAAGGATTGTGTTAATTAGTGAAGGATTCCTGAAAGTGCTTAATATTACATATTTCAGTGGTAACATTCACACGGAAGGACTTAAGTACAAAGAAATCAATACATCTCAAAATAATAATGAACACTAGTAAGTTTTTGCTGTCTTTCTTTTGACTTTTATGCTTAAGGGCACTTCACTTTTCAGGGATAATGGAATGTGGCTTTGTATGTAAATGAGATCAGCAGCCAAGATTCTGGTTACACAAGTTAGAATTCTGTAACATGAAAAAAATTCTCCTGAAGTTTTTCAAATCCAAACTGTGCAGCTTGAGTCTATCTAAAACATTATTTAATAAGATAGGTTTTCACAGAAGTAAATGATATGGCAATAAATCTTAAGTTAATTTAAAAAGAAAATCTCTAAAAGAGATTTGCTAAGTAAAGTCCATTAGCTAAGTCTAATCTTCTTCTAAATGTTCTCTTTTTCAATGAAAAAAGTTAAATATTCTGAGACTCACAGCTTTGCTGGTACTGTCCCTCACACAGACCAGAACAGCAATACACTTTCTGGAAGAGCCACCTTTTGAAAAGTACTCACAATCATGAACATAATTTCTAGTGTTGCTAACTAAAATCAGTCAGGTTCATCCAGCTTCTGTATTATAGCATTGCCTACCCTAATCCTGTTTTTAATTAGTTCTTTTCATTTCTTTATTTACCAAGCAGTACAGCAATGGGATTATTTTGAAAGAAAGTTATGCTCAGATGAACACTCATTTATTGAGAGGTACTAGGAAAAAATAACTTCTATGAGGCTATACTATTTTCCAATTACTGTAGAGAAAGAGATGCTGCTTACCACATGGCATGCACCTGTTCTCTTCATGGTCAAAGTATTCATCATGAGAGCAGTTGTAACAACCTGAAGAAAGGGAAGTTTGTTTTACATTTCTCAGAAAAAGGCATTTAATTTATACTATTTAGCACCTAATATATTACATCTCTGCTATTAAAAAATAGTATCAATTGCAACATCATCTATTCAGGTAAGTATTTCCAGTGTCATCCTCAGAAAGAGTGTCTGCCTACGTAGGAATTCTTTTGGTTTCTCCAGCCATATCCATTTGTTTAATAAAAATATTAACTGCTCTCTCCACATGTTTTCATCCCCACGTACAGTGTATTTTATTTGGTGCAAGTCAGAATTTCTCTTCCAGATAGGCTGAGCTCAATATAAAGCTAGTTGTAGTACAACTCCTGAGTTAATTATGTATTTTAAAATTGTAGTAGTAAGGGAAGGATTAGCAAAACTGCTTCAAAGATAGCATCAATTAGATTACTATTATTTAACTGTGGTATGACTGATTTAGAAAACAGCATTGAAAAGAATTATTATGTTACTGTTTCCTGGTTTAGAGTAGTATAGCTTATTACCTTCAATGTTGACATATTTGTAGTTTTGGTTTGGGCAATTACAAGGCCTGTAATGCCAGGTGCATTTGTCATCATTGTAGTCAGAGGAATAAGCACTGTCAACTCCTGTTCTTTTATGAGAATTGTAGTATTCACAATAGACAGCTAAAAAAGGTAAAAGCAAGACAGAAATCAGATTTTTTTTTTTTTACTTAATGGCATGGTATTTTTAAAGTACTAAAAGGAGGACAAAATTAATAAACAAAATAAAAAAAAATTCACTGAAGTTATTAGTTTCTGATGTAAATTTATGTTTTAGTGAAGTCAGTTTCTTTTTTGCAAATGCAGTATGCAAGCACTTTGACAATTTTTAATGCACAATATAGTGAAATGTGGAAAAGAAACCATCAAAGATGACAACTCTAGCATTGACTCATAAGAGGGTCATACTTTTTTTTCCTCTATACACAGTGTTCTGGAACACCTTGATATCTTTTTCCTGTTTTACAGTGTTCCAGCCAACACAGCTGTCTTCCTTTCCTTGACATCCACACAGAAGGTGATTTCATCATAGCTAAAATGAAATATATTTTTTTACCATTTCATGCTTTCTCTGCTGGCAAATTGACAGTGCACTACACTGTGGCAGTAGAAGAAACAGCCTGCTTTCTGTGACCACATTATTTTCTCTCTCATTACTTCATGGTAAAAAGAGTTATAATAATTTGTTTAATTTAGCACAAATGAAAAGTACAGATTTCAAAATCTAGGTGACTGAAGTCAACTATTTGCCCACAGAGAAAATGCAACCTTTGAGGTGCTTATTAATAATTTTCTTGCATTGTCATATGAATATACCCACAGTAACAATAATAATGTCTTCAACTTGTTTAAGGAGAACTTAAATGAACTTACGACAGAACTCAGGGGTCCTCCAGTCAATGCAGATACCTTTCTCTAAACATGCCATGGCATAGACTGCAATGGCATCACACATGCATTCACAGTCCCCTCCAGTGTCACACCCACAAGAGTCTCGAACACAGGCCTCATAATAGGGCATCCGATTCACCTGCATTGGAAAATGAAGGAATGAATTTTCTAAGATTATTTTGTGCCAATTTGTTAAGAAGATGATTTTTCCTGGGCTAGACAGTACATGTTCCACTAAGAATAACTAGTATTTCATCTGAACACTTGTCAAAGCAATTACAACCTCACATCATACAGATCTTTTTAGCCAGACTCAGGTGTCTCCACATCAGCAACAGAAACTGATGATGTTTTGCCTTATACGTATTTCTAAATTGATACTGGTACTGAACATGTTATGTATAGTTAGCTAAAAAAACTCCTCAAATCCCCACATCCATTTAGGCACAAGTATCTGAGTTCATCAGCTGTACAGCCTCTGTACATACATAAACACGGCAGCATTATCCCCATTTTTCACTTGTTTTCACCTCCTGAAAATGGAGGATTCACCTAAAAATGGGGGATTTCCCTTCAGAAGGCCTGCTCCCTTGTGATATTTTCATTTCCACAAAGTGGACAACTTAAAACAAATAGGAGGGTTGATGGTATCTTGTTCTTGAATGGACCATCAAAGTAACAGTGTTGACTTACTGATGAGAACACGAGTTTTCAGGACTTTCTTTAGTTTGATTTTATAACAAAGACTAAATGGTTTCAAAAGAGTAAGTGTATTGATCAGGTATCACCAACAGACTAATTTTTGATTCTTAAGTCTTTTTCACACTCACAGTTCTAGTAATCAGTTAATGCCACACTTAGCTTTTGTGCTTACAAAAGGGCTGGTGAAGTGCAAATAAGAAAGGATGAAAATCAACGTAAGTGTGAGATATAAAACATTTTATATGTATTTTATTGAAATACTTTTGGAAACAGAAAATCGCCCTGTGGGAGTGTGGCATTTTTAAAGAATGCACATCATGCCTGTAAGCAAAAGGAGGAGCAAATAAATTCTTACCTTATTGTGACAGGCAGAAAAAACCTCGCCATTGATGACAGAACATGTCTTTTCTGCCCATGCTTTACGATAAGGGTTCTTGCTACAAGGATCCACTACAAAGTATACATCCCCACAGAGAGGATTCTCTTTCCAAGAATTGACAAATTCCAATTCATTTGATGCCACATACTTGCTTCGAGTTTCAAAATCATCCTTCATATTGCCATTATAGTTCCCACACAAACCGCATAGAGTTTCCTAGAATAAATGAAAGCAGCAGTGTCAGTTCAGCAAGTTACAATTACTCACCTTCCCTTTTGATTACCGATGGTTTCCTGTGCTTTAGGAGTGAATGTCATCTACAAATACTCTGTCAGACAGTCTTAGCTTCTTGTGCAGGAGATTCTGTTTGTCACTGGAGGAATGTGTCTTCTAAACTGTAAACTGTCATCATTTAGAGATCAAATTCAACTATGCAGTTCTATAGAATACAAACATTTAGCTCAAAAATTTCCTGAATGCAGTACAGAAATCACTTAAAAATCAGGCTCTAGTGAAAATCTCTGCTGTTTTGGAGATAAAGACGAAAATGAATTGCTAGTAGCTTTTTGAAGAACTTTTGCCATCACAGGGAGTCAAGGCAACGGCAATTAAATGTGCAGTTCAATCTGAATTGAAGGACACTTTACTGAGGAAGTTATTCTGCCATACCTGTGTTCCTCTGGAAATCTTGATGAAGAAGTTCATGTGCTTATTCCAAATAAGGGTCATGTTGTATTTTCCTGGGATAATGATATCAAACATCAGGTGAAGGGCGTTCTTTTTCACATGATATCGTACACTAGGATTTTCCCCAGAAATAGCGAAGGTTTCATCTCTCAGTATGATTGTCAAATTCTGGAAGAAAATTTATCTAGAAATTATAACTTATCAGGTTTCAGTATTTTCCTTACTCTGTGTCACACTGCTAAAGATCAGAACCTGTGGTACTATTACAGACTATCTTCACATTTCCACTGTTTTTCAAAAGTCCTGGCAGCCAGAAAAAAGGGAAACATTGCACCCATTTTTTAAAAGGGTAGAAAGGAGGACCCTGGGAGGAACCAACCTGACAGCATCACCACTGTGTCTGGAAAGATCATGGAGCAGATCCTCCCAGAAGCTGTGTTAAGGTATATAGAGGACAGGTAGGTGATTTGAGACAATCAGCACAGCTTCACCAAGAGCAGATCTTGCCTGACCAACTGAGTGGCCTTCTATGGTAGAGTGACTACATAAGCAGACAAGAGAACAGCTACAGATGTCATTTATCTGGACTTCAGTAAAGCCTTTGACAGGGTCCTCCAGAACAGCCTCCTCTCTAAATTGGAGAGGTATAGATTTAGGTGGACCGTTTGGTGGGTGATTGGCTGGATGATCACATCTAGAGGGTAGTAATCAATAGGTCCAAGTCCAGATGGAGCTCAGTAAGGAGTGGTGTCCCTCAGTACAGTTTAATATTTTCATCAGTGACACAGACAGTGGGATCAAATGCACTCTCAGCAAATTTGCAGATGACACCAAGCTGAGTGGTGCCGTTCACACACCTGATGTGAAGGATGGGATGCCAGTCAGAGGGACCTGGACAAGCTTGGTGGTAGATGCCCCATCCCTAAAAACATTCAATGTCAGGTTGGACAGGGCTTTCTTTGAACAACCTGATCTGGTTGAAGATATGCCCACTCATTGCAGGGGTGTTGGACCAGATGACCTTTAAAGGTCCCTTCCACCACAAGACATTCTGTTATCAATTTTACAGGCTTTTTTACCTCCTTGGAATTATTTTGTATGCATATGCAAATCTTCACAGGAAACAAAAATATCTGTCATTGTTAGGTGTTATTGTTAGGTGTGCTAGCACTCCACATTTGGTGGAAATAATATCATCATCTGCATATGGCCAATAGAGTAGAGGAAGTATGTTTTCCTGTGTTTCTAAGGACAGTCAAAAAGTAACAGGGGCTATAGCTCTCTGTCCTGAGGCCTTTAACCATCTCCCACTTTTGTGTGTACTTTGCCAACTTTACTCCTGTCATACTGCAGTGTTTCCATGTCTAGATAATCAGAAGGAAGGTTTGTTTGGAGTGTGCATTTATGAAACGGAATCCTAAGCAAATAAACTTTTTCACCACAGCACTGACCAACTGGAACTGCCAGTATTTAGTCAGCAGTGTGGCAAATGTGTACTTTTTGTAGTGCTTTTTCCTTGGGATAAAATCTCATCTGTTCATATTTTTCTCTCTGTCAGATACTGAAGGATCCTAAGACGAGCTGATACTACTGGGCACTACTGTCCAATTAAACTGAGAAGAGTAAAATGTATACAGTTCCAGAAGCTGTCACATTGCAGTAGAAATGAGGATAACTACTCATTAGTCTAGTTTCACAGATATATCTCAGGAAAAATCTAGATATATTTTGAATTTCACATATTATCTGGACTTAGAGAAATTTTGATAGCTTTTGCTCATCACCCACGATGAGAATTCCTCAATTTTATACTATTATTTTTCTGAGTTTGGCAGAGAGAGGTGGGGAGGGGCAGGAAGTCAGTATCTTTTGATCAAGCAATTCACTGATAAGTAAAATGCAAGATTTTCTGGCTTCTACATAGGTGAGAACCTTGGAGAATTAAACAAAATATGAGAACTGGAAAAAAAACAATCTATGGCATTTCCTACTAAAACCGAAGCTGTAGGTTTAGCACATAATTTCACTTAGAAGACATCTCTTCTAAGATACAGTTAAAGCTTCCAAAATAAAGTAAACATGGTCTTAAAATAACTATTCAGCTGGATAATGGCAGAAGGAAGGGCTTACCCCAAGGTAAATGCTGATGGACCTGGAGCATGTAACTCCTGATATCCCACAGATGACATTCTCAGTAACAATTTTGAAAGAGGAAACAGGTCTATTAATGCTGCAGCCATCCTAAAAGAACCAAACCAAACAACAAAAAGCATAAAACCCCAATAGATTCTGTGTCTGGAGTATTCCAACTCAAAATACAAAAGCATAAGGAAATAAAGAAAGCTTAAAATGTCCTGACTGATTCTGCCTGTTTTGGGAGGTGATGACCTCTGCTTTTGTTGTCAAACTGACATCACTTCCCTAAAATATATAGTTGTCTGGTACGGAATACATATATATCAATGACTATTTAAACATGTTATTGAATCTAAAATTGGTTAATATTGCATTAAAAAGCTGTTTTTTTGAGAAGTAAAATATTTTCATCTTAAGCACTGAAATAAACAGATTATACAAAAAATCATTAAGTGGCTTTAAAGAACCAAAGTGCTCTATTGGTTATTGATGTATCCTATCATGTTTTCATTAGTCATTTAAATCAAGCTATTTCTTGATGCTAAGATACTGCCAAAATCACCAGTAGGAAGCAGGTTACCGTAGCTAATATGTATTCACAGTTGCCATCAAACACAAAACGCTGTCCATCAAAAGTGGTGATGTGGCCTTCTCCATAAAGGTTACAAGTTGAGGAACACCTTGATTTCTGAACACATTTCCATTTGCCTTTTGTGCAAGTGCTGGGATGAGAAGAGAAATCATACTCAGATTTCAAAGAAATGCCACCTTAATCTGCTTCTTTTTATACACATCCACTTTTATAAATAAGATGTTAATTTAATTGATTTATGTACACTGACACCAAGTTAGAGTTAATATAAAGATCCCTAATTAAAAGTCATGGACTGCCTAGAAAATGAATTCATGATAAAGAAGAAATTTTACATAATTTTTGCCTTTTTATTTTCATGAAACAAAGAGTATATAAAACCCATTTATTTTTGCTCCTAATGAGAACAGAAGTCACTGTTCTGTGTAGTTTGGGGGGGTGGTGGTTTTTTAATGTTAGATTAGTGACTGGAAATGGAATATGCTGCTAAGGAGATGGAAACAATGTTTGAGGGGGGGATTTGCTTTTATCTACAGAAAAGAAGAAAGATTGTACCCTCATATTTATTTATGTGGAGTTGTCAATAATCATTGACCTTATGTAGTTTACAGTTACAGGTCCTACTGGATGCCCTTATTCAGGAATATGCATAAGGCAGAAATTATCCCTGAAGCTGGTACCATGACTCTTTTTTTTATACATCCTCTACTTTGCCATGGTGTTTCTTCCATTCAGCTGTTGCCATCTCCTACTCTCCTGTCAACTAAACACTTTTTTTAATGTGGTTGTACAGTTTAGTGAGACAGAGGTTCTGCAATGAAAAAGTATGTGATTCTTACCAGATCTCACATTCAGTTTGGATTTGTTCACCTCTTCCATAAGAAAGGCCACCATATTCACATGGACACTCCTCAGCTGGAACACACTTGCCATCGAGATTTTCATATAGGCCATCAGCACAGACACAGCCTGATTCACATTTAGTTGGTATCTGGTAAAGGTCAACAGATTGCAAAATGAAAAGAACTGTGAGACATATTTTATCCTGGATGTGAATGGTGTCAAGAGTGAACCTGTGCTAAATTCTGTGATGCTAAATTGTGATGTTCCTTGTACTAATGTGCTAGTCAACTTTCACTGAAGTTGTAAAATATACTTGTGGTGTGGGATATTAAACATACCTGAAGACTCTGAAAAATTGATCTTCCTTTACTATCACTCTTTTTTCAGAAAGAGTACAACAGAAGTTTCTTTATATCAAGGAAGCTTATTACAATTCTTCCAATTAGTCTGTTTCCTTAATATAAAATTATAAGAAAACCCTATCAGGACAGCCCAGATGTTCATCTAGCCCAGGTCTCCTGTATTCTGTGACTGGCAGCAGCAGAGAGTTGAGAAAAAACAGAAAAGGAAGCATAACACGCAGCTTATGGAGTACTTGAGTCAGAGGTGATAGCCATGTAGTTAAGAATCCTTAATGGACTTTTATTCCATTCATTTAATATAATTTAATTCATTAATTCATGCAGTTTAATTCCTTTAATCACTTCTTAAATATATGTACATTTTTTTGTGTCCACAGTCTGTGGAAAGAAGCCTGATGTTTAACTGTACCATGCTAGATGAAATATCTCCTTTTATTTTATTAGAGGGAATGTAGTAAAGTTCTAAGTAACAACTAGAACATTCTAACTCTCTCAAGAGGATAAACATCCCAGATCTGTGAAACTCACACATTCAATTCCAGTAGCCAGCATCTGACAGGTAGGGGCACATGCAGCTCCATACTTGTTTTCTAAACTGTCAGAACATGATATGTATTTCTTAGGAGCTTTGCAGCTTTCTAGGGAAAAAGGAACAAAAACAAACATTGAAAAGATCATGAAGTAGTAATTTTACAACATAGGGGAAAAAAATATGTTCCTAAGTAAACCATATCAGACCCATACCTGCAGGATTTTGAGGTTTGCCTGTGCAACTTAGCCTTCCATTAACACAGTAGCTAGGGAGAAAAAAAAAATTTAATGCAAATCTCTCCTGAGAAAGAAATTTTTATTTTTTGCAAAATGACTTCATTAGAAATATTTCATTTATGTTACTAGCTCCTTCCAATCCTTTGAAATGGAACATAAGTCAACTTGTCTCTTTACTTTTTGTATTACACAGTAACATTAGTTTTGGAAGCGTATGGTAGGCTATTATCACTATTATCACCACTAGGCAATCATCACTATTATGATGGTCTATCAAGTCATTCTTGAAGTTAGTATATAGTGTATTGTATATAGTCCAAGTGCCGTTGACAAAATCTCCTACTAGGAATAATCAGATCTTACCTAATATTTTCTATTTTTCTCTATAACATTCCCAAGCTTAAGGTAAGTCAAATGCTTTTTGTTCATTTAAGGATATTTGTGGTGTTGCCTTAGAGGTTTTGATTTTTTAATTTTTATAGACTTTAGAAGTAGTTATGTAGTGAATGTAGATTTTAAAGTAGCTGCACTATATCCCTCACCCCTTAGCACAGTAGTTTACACATTTTCCCAACACTCTTACCCCTTTCCCATATCAAAATTCTGTTAAGTCCGTTAGTTGTTTAGTCTTCTTTTCAATGTGGATTTGCAGAAAGCACCTTAATGCCTGCCCCAAGGAATGTAAACATGGGCACAATGACCTTCAGGCCAAGACTTTGGAGGGCCTCCAAGGGCTGCATGTGCTTTGATGAAGAGGAAGATGATGAAAGAGAGGTCCCCCAGACTCAATTGCCAAGGGGCAGAACGGGGCAGAATTGGGGGGCGAACAAGTGGGGATTGGATGGACATCATTATAAAATTGTAGCACCCGGGTCGAGTGGTCGCGTGCGACAGCTGTATTCCTGGAGCATGGTGACTCACTAAAGCTTTCTGTTTTCTTATCTCCTACCTAATTGGGCCCGGAGTTCTTTTCAGGCAACAGTGGCTTAGGAAAAGGTAAAAGAGATATCTTGAAAAACAAACTTCTCCCATCAAAAATAAAGCAGTATATACTGGTTTGGGATGGAATGGAGTTAATTTTCTTTGTAGCAGTTCAATGGTGCTATGTTTTGAATTTGTGACCAAAACAATGTTGATAACACAATGCTGTTTTAGCTGTTGCTGAACAGTGTCACAGCATTCTCTGCTCCTTATGTTGCCCCACCAGGGAGCAGGTTGAGAGTGCAAAAGAAGTTGGGAGAGAACACAGCCAGGACAGCTGACCTAAACTGACCAAAGAGATACTCCATACTATACTACATCAACCTCAGCAATAAAAGCTCAGGTAAAGAAGGAGGAAGAAAGGATGTTTGGAGTTACAGCACTTGTCTTCCCAAGAAAGCATTATGGATGACAAATTCATGCTTTCCTGAAAATGTCTAAGCAGCTGCCTGCTGATGGAAAGTCCTGAACTAATTTCTTACTTAGCTTTGATTGTACATTGTCTTCACTTATTAAAAAAGCTTTTTTGCATATTAATAACAAAGAAATTTATTAAACTGTTTATATCGCAACTCATAAACTTTCTTGATTTTTTCTTTCTGATTCTTTTCCATATCTGGTTGCAGTGGAGTGAGCAGCTGTGTGATGCTTAGCTGCTTACTGACCTTAACCGTCAGCAGAGACACATGAAGACCCCTCACCTCCATTTTCAGTTTGTTAAGCTTTAAACTTGACACACTTACCAGGTGATCCCACCAGTTATTGTTGACTGGTCAGGCAGGATGTATTTTCTATCTTCCAAATAGCAGGGACAATGAGATTTACGAACACACTCATTCTTGTGGTTTAAGTACAGTCCTTTAGGGCACTGGCAGCCTTCAACAGGAATATCAGTTGGATGACATTCCAGGGCTCGGTTGGAGAGTGACAAGCATGTCCTGTCACATGCCTGAGCGTTGTAGCTGAATGTTTGATTGCCAGTGCAAGTAATGGCTGTAAAAGAAGAGTGTATGTTAAACTTCATTTACTGATCCTCTTCCTTGTGAAAGGTAACTGTGCTCATCACGTGCTGCTTATTTTGTGTCAACAGCTTCAATGCTTAATGCTTCCAGTAGCTTCTCTTCCTATGGATATGGAGCTCTAGCAAAACGTATTGTAGACCAGGGCTTAACAGCAACTATGTAGCTGTTTGGAAGTTTCGTGAAAGTTTAGTTGTTTGGAAGTTTCATGAAGGTTAAATATGTAACTGCTTCTTTGTATCTTGGAATAAATAATGCAAAGAGAAGCTTTGCAGAAATATCAATGTATTTTTGAGTAGCTTTGCAGAAATATCAATGTATATTCGAGTAACTGTGAAACCTGTACCTAAATTGCATAAAAACAAAATCAAATCTGCACCCAGTTTTTCCTAGTTCATTCTCATTTTACAGTACAGTATAACCCTATTTATCTGTCTATTCCATCACTTAATTATCAAGTCCTGGAAGCATCCACATGCTCACCTTAAAGCATATGAATAATCTTCATATAGACTAAAATCACAATCTCCTTCTGAAAGAGACTAGAAGGATATTCAAAAGTTGGGTATCTGTTATCCCATTTCTGCTTTTTTCTTCTTTCTGTTCACTACTTTTCTCATTACTCTTAAGATGATTTGGACACCGTTTCAAATATTGCATTACCATTTTGGTTTGTTTTTTTTTGTTGTTGTGTTTTGACACATCTGCAATGCCAGCAGCTCCTGGGAAAACAGTTTTTATACCTGCTGGTTGGCCTACTTCAGCAATATGTAGTTATTTCCGTAAGCACTGACAAGTTGTTTTAAAATAAGTTCTTGTTCTTACTCAGTTTTGTCACAGGTGAATCAAACACGGAATATTCTAAATGGAAATAGGCAGACCTGCATGCATGCATTCATCTGATGGAAGACCATTAAGAGCTGCTTCAGTTACTTACTACAATTGTCCATACTGCCTCTCCAGTCCTCAAGGATTAAACCCATTGAACTGCATGCTCGTGCATATGATCCCAGAGCAGAACAAATGTATGGAAAGGTCTCTTCATAGTTACAGGCCTGGTAGACACATCTCTGAAACCCAATACATGGAGAATACTTTGTTACTGGGGTGCAGACATCTGGAAGTGCTAAACCCTCGAGGTATTTAAAAGATGTGTGGATGTGGCACTTAGGAACATGGTTTAGTGGTGGATTTGCTAGTGTTATGTTTATGGTGGGACTCAATGATCTCAAAGATCTTTTCCAAACTCTGTGATTCTATGCTGAATGACAGAGCTAAGTCAGACAAAATACACAGTATTGCATAACTAAAACTGAGGGAAAATATCTGAGTAATTGCTTTGCTGATGTAAATAAAATATACTTAATACCTAAAAAATGCCTGTTTATTCGCTGCTTCTCATTTTGAATTCTCAAAATGTTTTGTGTAGATTGGCAAATACAATGAGCTCAATTATGCCCATGGTAAAATCAATACTTCGAATAGTTACAGTTGTCATGGACAACCGCCGGATGAGCAAAAATACCTTCTGATTCATAGGAATGGGACTGGTGCCTATGAACAGACAGACTTTCAGTGTGGAGGAGACATAATTTTCAAAACCACACCTGTTCCTTTGCTTCTATGCATTGCTGATTCCATGCGTGGGATACTGTCTATGAGCACAATCTGGTTTCTATTTGGACTCCCTCTGTACAACGTCTATCATAATTTCCTACCTTGTAGAAAGGAATAGGGTTGACCACAGCATGGCATTTCTCGAACACTGTACCCTTCTTGGTGAGAACGGAGCAATGAGTCTCAGCAGATATTTCTAATGAAAGTAAATCACAAACATTAAAAATAGAAAGTTAGGGGAAAAAAAGAAAAAAAACTTTAAAAAAACTGATATGTTACTGAAGGTGAACTTTTGGCAATGACGGATTGAACAATATGACAACTTCTTAACTTGTTAGCTTCCATACTCTGTTTTTGTACAAACAGTTCAGTAGGGTTTTTTTGTTTGTTTGTTTGTTTGTGTTTAATGACCAATAGCAATAGAAACTTGGGAAGGCAAAGTCTGGATTTCAGTCACAGTACTTTAGAGCAACCCGAAGACATCCATAGACATTGCAATTTCACTGGATAGATCACCAAAACCCTCTCACTCTCATTCATCATCTCAATCCCAGATCTCTGGAATGGAATCTGATAAGTTTTCACTAGATATGAATTCTAGAAATCAGAAATGTCTTACTGTGACAGAATTTGTGATGTCTCAGTTTCTGCTTCTACTAAACTCTCATTTCCCTGGTATGAGCTTATGGAAGTGTCAGACAAAGCTAGCTGGAGACATCAGTTACAACAGGATCATCTACTTACTGTTTAGTTGACTCAAAGCACAAGGGTCAGTCTCTCTCTCTAAAGCAGGATGGCAATTTCCTGCCCTCCAGGAATCTACAAACAAGGAGGCTGTCCCTTCAGTGATATCCATGCTAGTCATGAAGTCATCTGTAGTGTCTCCATTGTAATTGCCACACAAACCTAATAACATCAGAAATGCAAAGGACAGATGACAATTAAAGAATGTGTACACAGTGGCCTAAGTTTCATTTTATAATAGTGAGAAAATTGATTCAAAAGCTCTGTGTAGAGTGTCAGTGAATACTATAGATCATGTACCCAGAGAATCTTGATTATGTACACATTCAGTTACTGATCCTCTGCCTCCTCAAGTGAAGAGTGTCAACTTCTATTTAATGACAAATTCATAAAGAAGTTTTTGTCTTGTTTATAGAAACAAGTGGTTTTAAGTGATATAAAAGAGAAAGGCCATGAAACACTTATGCAATTGCATGTTTTCTTATGCATGTGAAATCCATAATGACAAAAAATATGCATTTTGAATTTGTAAAAGATAAAGCCTCTCTGTAATTCCCCATGATCAGAATGCAAAATATGCCTGTGTGGCTAATGTTGCTGTGCAATAAACATAAACTTCTCCATCTGGTGCTTATCTGCTGAGAAGCTTTTAGATTCTTAGGCTCATTGTGTTTACAGTGATCGTGCACTACATTCAAAGAACCATGTGCTCCAAGATGTAGAGACCACACAGACTTACTTGTTGCTCCTTCACTGTGTAGCAAAACACATATTGAAAAAGGCACACATAAAACATGTAAAGAACAGTATTATATTACACATGAAAAATGTGACCCATTTAATTTCTTTAATTTGTTTTAAAGTTATTAGCAAAAAAAAAATTCTTGGCACATTGAGTTTCCAATGCAGATTTATTTTTTTTTCTTCGAGTCCAGAGAAGAAAACTTATTTCTTAAAGGACGAGTACTAAGTTTTCAAAATTATAATCCCTACGTTTCTCCTTCACACAATGACTAGATTACTTACCTAGTGTTCTGCCTTTGAATTGTGATCCAGCTTTCACATGGGCTTGGAACACAGGTGATGTTTGAACTACAAGTTCCAGCCCAAAGGTTGTATGCATTTGAACGTACATTGAGGACTGCCTGAAAACAGTAATGTCTCCTAAAAGAACAAGGACATTTAGAAATAGATATTTTGGTGATATTGCAAGGTAATGATTTTAATGCATATAATAAGTGTTCTAGCATTCTGTCTACAACTCTTCTCCCACACACAACTCTCCACAGAGGAACAGATGCAATAGGAAAGACTTTAACCCTCTTCTAAAACCTCTGGTATTAGCAATTGGAAATTGCAAAGGATGCTGGGTTGTATAAAACAGACATTTAATGCAATTTGGGAATAACTTACATTCCCCTTTTTTTACCTGATCTGTAAGGCAGCCGCTTAAGTTCATCATCATCTGTGAGGAGATCATTCTGAGAAATCACAATTTTGTCCTGTAAGAAGAGGACATGGAATCAGAAGTAATTATCTGTACTGGTGGTATTTATACGTTCTTTAACATAAACAACTATATTGTCACTTAATAGGAAAAGATTGATTCAAGCATTTTGTTACATATTATTATGTACTGCTTTTAGCTTTCACTTTGAAAATACTCTAACTTCCTGAGTTGATGTACTAACTGAGATCTTTACTGTGTGTGCATGAACAGGAACGTATCTTTAGTATCTATTCCCCATAATTTTTCAGTTCAGGCTACTAGCAATGACTTTAAGTACCTATTTTGCTTATCTGGTTACTGATATGGTGGATGGAACCTGTGGAGGGAATACCTACCTTTGTGGATAGGTAAATTATAGCACTAAGTGACGTTTCGGAATGAGAATAACCAGTCTTTTCGTATACTGCCATTAGGGTTCCATTGTGTGGCAGGCTGGCACTCTGGGGGGAAACAGTGAAAAGAGAAGTCTACGTCAGAATAATGCTGATTTGTAGAATCAATGTATATCTTAGGAAGACCTCAGTCTGTGTTTCAATAGGAAAACAAAGACAGACTAAAATACATCCATTTGATATTTTGTGTTTCTTAACTGCAGGAAATTACCTTCATGAGAACGTAAGTGCAAACCCCATGGAATATGTACGACCTGGAATCAAACGTGGTAACAAAGGAGCCTCCTTCCAGTGAACACCTTCCAGGACAGGGCAAATCTTTGCAGTCCCATTGACCCATCATACATTTGCTGTGGAAAACAAGAAATTCTGTGTAAGGTTATTCTCGTACTAAGGCCCTGTTTACCAGCTGAGGATTTGATATCCTCCTGTCTGGAGGTTTCTCTGCAGCTAATCAACATGCAAAATTGGTTAGTGAACACAGAGTAACATACACATACATTCTGAACTTTCATTTTCAGTACTTCGGAATTTTCTTCAGACTCTAAAAACTCAGCTACTTCCTAGTAATGGAATATGTCATTTGTACCACTTTTCCCCTTACACTTACATTTGAAGATGGTCATCTTAATTCAAAGTTGTTGAACTTTTGTATGGATTGTCAGTTAATGTTCCTGAATCATGAAAAGTGTGTTCACCGTTGCATTTCTGAGGATCAAATTCCATTACTTTTCCTTTACATTCTTTGTTAGAATTATGATAGTAAGACACGCGACACCAAAAAAATTATTCCACTTTTAAAAAAATACTCTGTTATTATTTTCTGTTGCAAAACAGAAATTTAGTTTTCAGCACTGATCTGGTGATCAGAAAGACTGAGACTGCCAAAAAGAAATTGTAAATACTGGATATTTGCTTTGTACTAATTTTCACTTTCAAAGAGGAGATATAAATACTACTGTTTCATACGGTCTGAAAGGGTATTTTTATTTGTACAGACTAATCATGAAATGAGACATGTACCTCTTTAATTGCAAATGTATGATATGTGGCACTGAAAGAAGGTGGCCTCAGAGATGGTACGACACATTTGCAGCTCCCCTCTGAAAAGTTAGGCTAAATTTTCCAATAACTTGGTGATCTCTCATAAAAGTACCTGTTGCTACTCACCAGGTCCTACATGTTGCTTTCATTGTCTCACCAGGAGCGTATGGCTTCCCATTCAGTGTACATGGACACTGGCTAATGTGAACACACGTTCGATTCTTGGAGATATCATCAAGAACAGTTCCTGCCAAAGAGAAACAAAATACTTTTCCACATCCTTACTTAGCACTAAAGCTTCAGTGCTTTCTGAAATTATCTTGAGTATGCTATTCTTCCACAGTCAGTGTCCATACTTCGATATAGAGTATACAGGAAAATTTCTCTTAATTAAAATAAAACTGACTCTTCACAGTGTTTGGCTGCTTTCTAACATGAAAGTGCAGGCACTTGTCTTATTTTGAAATTTGAACTTAATTTGAAATAGCAGTAAGGTAGAATGTTATTTTTATTTTTCCTTTTTTTTTTCCCCCTATGACACTCTAAATTGACTTGGGAATTCTGAAGAATAAACACATTATATTTCCTAGAGTACTAAGTCTAGTTCTAAATATGTAACTCACAACACATTAGTTTTGACTGCTATAAATTGGTGATGATATTGATGTAAATGCCCACATTGGAGGATATATCAGTTCTGAAATTTTCTCAGAAACAAGGCATATGATAGTAACAATTACAATTTTTGAAGGAAGTTCATCTTGAACTATTTTAAAGGGAATTTACAAAATGCCCATGATATTGCAGAAGTCATCCGAGGTATGCTACCTCTTTCAGATGCCCTTAAGGGCTAGATACCTGTTTGGGATAGGAAATTAATTAAGCTTAACTCAATGTAAATTATAGTACAGAACTTTGAGCAGGCAACACATCATTATCCCATAACAAATCATGGTTTTGTGAAGAAAATGATTTCATAACTCTGTTCTTGCAAATAGTGACCAATCATCTTTAAGGATCATAATTAATCAAGACTCCAGTTACATTACACAAGAAGTAGCAGTTCTAGCAGCACAATGCCCCGAAATGCACGGCTAGTTCATTATTAAGCAGTCTATTCCACTTAAGTGGATATATGCAAAAAAAAATATTTGTGTCATTCATTTAGAATATGATGAAATGATACCTTCTGGACAAAAGCAACCGTAGGTACAGTGACTGGAACAGCTGTACTCTGGGTTGGAACAGGTTTTAATACATGGAGAACCACATTCCTCATAGATTTGGTTTGCAGAACATTTTCCCACAGCTGCAACAAACAGCAGAAGTGTTAAAATTTTAAAAGAGAACAGTCTCCTGTTGCAAGTTTGAGAAATTAAACAGTTTTCACTTGGTGATGTTCCTCTGTTTTATTGTCACTGATCTAGACATAAGAGCTATATTTCAAGCTTCCCTCTTCTCCTTTGAGGTTTCCTTGCACTCCTTATTTTATCAAAGACCACTGTTGTTCTCTTAAGAAAATCAGTTTGATACAAGACAGTAAAGACTTTTTTTATCAGTTGTTTTACACTCCAGTTATTTATCAGTATCCCTGTATTTAAGACACAGAAAAGTTAAGCACAGCCTCGCACAAATAAACCATTTGAACTTACAACAGAAATTTTCAGTTCTCCAGTTGAACACCATCTGGTGGGACATAGCACATTGCCTTGAATATTCTGACAGTGTAGAGCAAGCGCAGTTGTTTTGTCCTGGCTCACTGCAGTCCTGCATATCAAGCTGGCAACGAATGACAAACCCGTCCTTTGGCACACTGCAGGTTGGTGACACCAAATTAAGTAGCTGAGAGCAGATCATGGCCTAAATGAAAGGAGAAAGAAAATTGTTCCCTGTCACACTGGCTACTGCAGTATAGGGTCTCAGAGACTCTCAGGCACACTGACTTTCTTTTCATCTAGAACTGTAAGTGATAGCAGTTAATAGTGGTTGTCCCTGTTATCGGTGCTGTTATCTGACATGTTTTAGGCATTGGGAATGTCTTCAAGTCTGTACCTCTTATAATGTCAGGTCTCTAAAAAGTTATTAAAGCTTTACTGGTTTCTCTGAATTTCCTGGCATGACCTGAATGAAACTCCAGCAAGCTGTGAGCTAAACACTGGTTGGTTTTTATAAGTGATATAAATCCAGCCTCAGGAATGCCCATGGGCTTTTATTAAAATGTATTTCAATGCAAAGAACTAATTTTCTTTATCATATCAGGCTATACAAATGTTGACTTTATGTTTTTTCATGGAAGTCAGTTTTATATTTATTGCCTCTCTGTTGTTGATTTCTATCTTCCCCCTCTGTTAAGAATCACACTACAGAGAAGCCAAGAAGATCTTCCTTACATATTTTTTGTGAGGAACAGTAGAAATTGGTATCTCCTCAGACAGGCAGATCTCTGATGGATCATCCATTTTTTGTAATGCAGCAAATTTGTACGTGTCCAGCAATTTACCTGTAAATTGAAGGGTTATAATTTGTCAGCAAACAGCCCATGTTGGTTTGTTTACTTGTTGCTGTGATGTAGAGAAACTCAAATTCTACTCTTTGACTGTGAAATGTTCTACAAATGAATTTTCCCAATGACAACAACTGCCTCTTTTGCCCTTTACCTGGAGTCTATTAAACAGAGCGTACTTTTATTACCGTGATCATTTCTTCAAGTTATTTCCCAATCTATCACATTTACTACCTTAAATGCTGCTACTGGTTTTCTGCCAGCTGTGTTATCTTTTGCCAGTTGTTAATTCATACCTCTTCTCCTTATCCCCCATTCTTATATCTTCCCCTATATATAGGGTTAAACTCATCACAACCCAAAGATTATTATATAATTTTTAGAACTCATTTCTGTGACGTGTATAGAAAACTGCATCTGTCTGTGTTGATCTAAGATTAGTTTACTGTGCAATTTAATGTCTCCACACTAGCACTACAGTTCAGATTAGCAGTGTGCTTTTAAAGCAAATATTCCAAACATCCCCTTTTGTTTTTTTCTGTTGTGGAGTGGTCTTGTCATATGGACTACCTTTAAGATTTAACCAAGCTGAAAGATAAATTCCAAGAGCTTGAGTAACAAGCTCCAACTACTAATGGGCAATAAATCAACAGACCAGATTAGAGTGACTCAGAAGTGAACCCCCTCAATTCCTCAGCACCATTTCGATATAAAGATCTACAATTATTGAGACACACTGTTAATATTCTTGTCAACTATGTTCTTCCTATTATTGCCTCATCCTTGCCTCTGCCTATAGTAATTATTTCCTTCACTGGGCCTTGCTGTGAGCTTAGACTGTGTGAAATTTGGGAGAGTGTGACCCTTACCACCCGTTTCTAAAGTATAAGAGAGTTCTTATCACTTGCCTGAGGAACCCACAATATTATGCTCACAGCAGATAACAGTGTGTACCATAATCTAAAATAGGTATGTTGGTGACCCATGGAACCGCTTTACTCACTTCTGAAACTGAGTGAGCAGTCAGAGCAGTGCTTTTACAGTATTAAGCTTTCACCTTGACTCACTTTAACTGGTTTTCCTTCCATGTGAAACGTCCTTGTATCTTACCTTCACGCACAAATTCATTCCATTCATAACCATCATAATTTCCACACATTCCACAGACTTTCCCCATGTATTTTTTTTCAGCCAAAACCTAAAATAAAATGGAATGAAACATTTAAAAGGATCACCCTGAGTGAAATTATCTATACAGCATTAACTTACTCAAACAAATTCAGTTCAAGGACGCAACTTAAGGTGATCCTTCTCATGATTTTCAATTACTTGTTTGCAGGAAAAGTTTTGTAAATAGTAATGCCTTTTCCCAATAGGTAAATAGTGATTTATTTGTTTATCTATTTAATAAAAGAATAGGATTTGAAGACACTTCCAGAGAATTAAGGAGGGGGGTATAATATTTTAAGGAATCAGAAAAGAAAACAAAAAAGCGAAATGATGCTGTATCCTGGCTCATATCTTTGTTGACAGAACATGAATTTCAGGTTTCTTCTCTTAAGAAATTGAAGGTTACAGGAAGAAAATCTGTTTTCAGAAAAAGATTATTCAGTTATCCATTGCTCTGGAGACTAAAGTGGTAGTATTACTACTGGCTACGATCAATTAATTATTGTGAAAATCTTAGGTCAGAAGTAACCTGACTACAGAAAAAATATAGTTTGTACCCATCACAGTAGCCTTTCCTCTTATATGTGTTATAGTAATGCTGATAAATCTCCCAGAAAATTTATTACATATCGTTCTCCCTGTTTTAGCAAACATCAATTTAGATTTCAGTGTCTTTTATGGTAATAATATCACAGGTCACACTGAGAAAATGTACTGGGGATTTTGGAAAGAAAACCTGAAAATATTCAAAAAAAGGAAAGAAACAAAGAAACTGGCAGAAGCACTGTATGTTTGAAACCAAAAGATGTCCTGTGGAAGCACAGTAGAAAAGACTAAACTATGGCATACACTGTTAAATTCTACACAACTTTAAACAATAGTAAAACACTGCAGCTGCTGGAATACCCTGAGGAAAGATTAAAATGTGTGAAAGTGTCCATAAATCTCAACATTGGTGGCTTTAGTCAGCTACCAATGCTGCAAGTGAAAGGAATACACAGGTATAAAATGAACAGTTGTTTTTTGCAAGAGGAATGGAAGAAACAGGAAAAGAATAATTATCCAAATAGTAAATACATGCAAAAGCACCCAGTAAGTCTAAAGAGTTCTTGTCATTCCAGTAAATAAAATGAGAATTTTCTTTTCTGCTTTTTGAGAACATTTTACTAACCATGAGATAGTCATCATTGTTCCACATGACAACTAGTTCCATCTCCATCAGCTTGGCGACCAGGCGGATGTTGTGTCCATAAGGTGCTATTTGAATTCCATTGCTAGTATAAGGCAACTTAATAATTCTGTAATAAAGGAAGAAGAGAAACTGACCTTCTCATTCCAATAATATGCAGGAATTAGTTTGTGGGGGGAGTTTTATATGATACACATACAGTCTGAGTACTTGCAGCAATATGAAATAGAATTTTTTTCCTTCGTAGCTGTGACATTTTAAGATACACTAAAATGTCTGTTGATTGAAAATCAATGCCAGCAGTTTCATAGAAGAATCACCAAAGATAGATGCGCAGTGATTATACTAGTGAAAATGTTTGCACAGGACTTGGCTTCTTCACTTGGTTTATTTTTATCAAGGTATAGCTGCATGTTTCAAGAACTTCTAACAATAAAGTTTCTGTGGTACAACTATTCTTGATTATCCTGAAGAGACTCTACGTACTACAGCCCATTAATATAGGAATTATTGCTATGACTGAAAACTGACAAGATTAAAGAAACCCATAATATGAATGTTGTAGCAGAATTAGGTTTTCATCCCTGCAGATTAATTTTAATGCTACAAACTAACAACATTACAAAAGAAATACATTTTGCTAAGTGTTCAGTGGTACAATTATGAGAAGGGGCTGAAAGACCAAACCAGCCTTCCACTTGAAGCATGGCTATGTGCAACACTAGACCTGCTCATGGCATTTGGTTCTTGTGACTGTAGGTCACTGGAATGGGCCCACAGATATAGTTTTTCTGGAAAAAAAAATTAAAAAAGGAAGTCTTTCTAAATACAGTTTGCTAAATTAAGGTATAGTGTAAATTGTATTTTTGTTGTAATAGTTACTGTGCCCAGGTAAGTATAATAAGATACACACAATCCACAGTCAATTATTTCCTGTATCCACATGTACTCAGAGATAAAAATTCAACACCAGGCTGCCTATCTGATAAGGATACTGAAAACTTCCCTGGAGAAATTTCCTGGTATGGGAGCAATTTGTTTAGAGGAATGAACCTATCCAGTATTTCTCTGTTGGTTGCAGAGTTCAAAGTTTCTCTTATGCCCTATGTATGTGTTACCTTTAGCAAGGTAAATGAACTCGAAACAAAACACAGGAATTTCAACTAGTATCTACTAAAGGGTATAAGCTGTTTCATCTGTGCTTGTAGTAGAGATAAGTATAAGCAGACTGGTAGTATCTAGGAAACTGTAGTTACAGTCTGAGAACTGTTTTGGTCTGAGAATAGTTTATCCCTTTGCCTACAAAAATGTACTCTAAGCTTGATTCAAATGAGTGCAAATGCAATACTTATCTAGAGAGTGTAATGCTTGATGGGAAGCAATGGGAACAGAGTCCAGTTAGGTGTGTTAACTTCAGTGATTTGTTAATTAATTTTAAAAACAAAATAGTCATCTTTACTGTAACTGCTATATAAATCCTTGCCTTCTCTAAAAACTTTTTTCTTATTCATCCCAGAATCTTACCCAACACTCCTGACAGAAATGCTGCCTTTCTCAACAATGACAACAGAAGGTCCAAGCTCAATAATGATCCTTGCAATTTTTTTGTCCATCCCACGGCGGAACTGAATGTTGAAGTCTGGGCTGGTTTCATCACATACAGTTGCAAAGATATAGTTGCAAGTCCCAGTGAAGTCATACTGGTATTTATCAAAGGTTGAAAAATGGCCTCCACCCCATGTAGAACAGGAATCCTTGCTCAAAACTACAAAAGAGAAAGAAAAACACATTTAGGCCTCCTAAAAGCGTATTTGCTCATTCTGACTAGCATTTCAAATAGACAGTAGGAGAAGCTATTCAAGTTTCTACTCAGATTAATTCTGTAAACAACATCCTAGTCCTCTATTTTTGTTTTTTCTTTTGTAAGCTCAGAATTTTAGCTCAAGTCAGGAAGTCAAACAATATGCAGAGGGAGAGCAATATTATTACTTACTGTAAATAGAGGAGAGTTCCCCAGCTTCCTAGCTTGGGAAAAACCATTCCAACTCCTTCATGAGTAATATAAAGGTTTACCTTCTTATTTCAGTCTGTTTGAGCTGTTTGCAAAGGCGACAGCTTGCTACTGGAGAGACCTTTAACATCTCAGACACAGCATTTACCAAGCTATCTGTGGCATTACTGTATCATAAATAATTGCACAGTCAATCATGAGATATCCAAAGACAGTCTTCAAAGCTCAACTTGTCAGTCCCCACTTTTTTTGGCTCTGTATTTGTGTGACAAACTTTCAACCAGCCTTATAAATATATGGAATGTTTTAATCAGTTTTCATTTTTAAGAAGTAATCTGAACTTTTCATCAGAATAGACAGATTTTTGGTGGTGGAAATGAATCCTAAAAAAAAGAGATACAGCTCCAGCTCTTGTTGTAAAAAGTTCTGTACCTACTTACAGCATTTGAACAGTCCCTTTGAAGCAGATACTTCTACTGAAGTAACTAAAATCATGTCCTCAGTTTTATATTTCCAGGCTCAGATTGTTAATTTTCATTTTTTAATTATTTTTGCTTATAGTGTTATATGTCATATTTTTCTTATGGTGTCAGGTATCTTAGAATATATCTCAAAGCCACTTAGTTAAATTTAGCAAAGTCTACCTGCAATTTATATGCATTGTTTTAAAGCCAAAAGATTTTTTTTTAACTCCTAAGGAGTGATCAAATTATTACAGAACGTCACTGGTTTTATCCAGGTCATGTAGAAAATACTGTTTCCCAGAGAGCTGTTACCTGTTGGTAAAAAGTATTCCTCTTCCATACTTCTGTTCTGTCCTGAAGGTCTGACTGGAAAATAGGAATCATCTAATTGTTATCATTGGTCCTTCATGCCCAAGTCCAGCTAGTTTAACATATTGTGTTTCAGTGATACCGACCACCAAATCCCAGAGCGTGCCACGGAAAGATTAGCTGGGGTTGCACAATGGTCAGAGTGCAAGAGGTGCCCCTTTCTATAAATACAGGAGCGTGTTCAGTGTATTGGTTTTTATTTAAGTCTTATCAAAGAAAAATAACAAATGGGAGTGTCAATAACTCAAGGAAGTTTAAAACTAGATTATATGTTTGTCTTTTGTGCTCAGTTCTTTTATTAATTAATATAATGGGATTTTCTTTTAATTTGTCATATCCACGCTCTGCTGTTCCTCTTGCTGTAAGAACAGACAGCATGCAGAGATGAGTTCCTGAATATTTGGGATTTTTGTGTCTGATCACAAGTCTTCAACTATTTTTACTTTTAGGATGAATTTCATGTAGATTTCCATGCTTATGCTGATTGAGAATTCAGCTAATGCAAGCCACTCTCAGTTTATTCTGCCTAAAGAAATGCTTCTCATTATAATTAATTTGCATTTTATATAATTGGTTTTGTTCTACACCTCTGCATTTTCCCCAAACTAGATAAAAGAATTTCATTGCCAACCACTGATATGCAGAAAGTTTCGGAGTACACAAGAATTGCTTTTTAATGGTATGTAGAAGTAAAGCACAGTATTTTAATGCAAAACATTATAGATTACTAGGAAGATTTTCTGTAAATAGAATATGATAGAAAAAAATGTTCAGAATACTTTTTTAAAAAGCATCTTGTGAAAATGTGTGGTTTTAGAAGGGTTATAGCTTTCCATATCCTGGCTTAACAGACGAACATATCATGCAAAATATAGTATCCCATGACAGCATGATGACATTTATTCATTCTGATCACGGACATGGAAAACTAAATGTTTGCTGAATGAAGTTTAAATTTAGAAGTTAATGTCTCACATTTCTTCAGAAAAGGACGTGTGAAAAGTTGTATTGGTTCTGATCAAGGGCTGATGTAGCTCTGTGTTTTATTTCCAGCAGTGATCATTAACAGACTGCCCAAGGGAAGACTACCATCAAGTCAAGCATATATACTTCCACAGATACTCTCTCAGTCTCCAATTATTTCCAGTTCAGAGAATTTTGTGAGGCTATTGGGATTTTTCTGCTTTTCTCCTCCCTTGAGCTCTGGCTTCCAAGTACGTGTTCCAGCCTCCTTTTGAACAGAACCAAAATTTCTTTCTAGTAGAAAATGCCACAATCACTGCTGTCAAAATTTATCATTTTAATTATGAGTTAACATTTTAATGATATCTGTCTTTCTAACGGTACTTCTGATAGCTAACATTTTTAGTACTTTAAAGCTATAATACACTAATTATTTTAGCAGTGAACACATTTTTACACAGGTAAGGTCTTAGTATCTTACTATTTATATTTCTCAGATTCAGAAGGACTAGCACAAATTCACAGTAAGTAGGTGGCTGGAGTTAATTTTGTGTACAGATTTGGATGCATCCACACAAGCCATTCTTTGGAGTTATGGGAAAACCACTGTTAAGCTACTAGAATTGTGGCAGTAGTAGCTACAGCTGGCATAGCTCAATGTTGAAGCAGAGATCTGTTCATACTCTCCCTCCCCACTGGCTGCTGGCTATAAAGCTGAGGAAGAAGTATGCCATACTCTGATTTTTCACTTGCATATAAATTTGTTTTAACCTGAAATCTTTAAAATTATTTTTATAGATCTAATCTATACAGAGAATGAGTTTTATTTAACCTCCTGGATTTTGCAATATCAAAAGAATCCATATCCTAAATTTTTAGATAGTATTAGGCAGTAATATGTAGGAATGAAAATCAAGTATATCACACAAATGACCCCAATAGCAAATTTCTAAATGTGGAGGGCTACTAAACTGCTCACAGTTTCTATCCTTAGGCATCAAAACCTCAGCATGGCACACTAAAGCACTTTCCATTTACTTAAAAACTTACGAGTGAGACAACACATTTTATCATCTGTTTATATGCAAAGTTTTCATTCAGAATTTCTAAAACTAATGCTTCAAAACGTATGCTCCTTGAGGCAAAGACTGATTTTTATTATGTGTTTTGTACAGTGTCTTCTGCAATACAGAATTGATGCTGAATAGAGTTGTCACTCATAGTTGAATGTGAACACTAAATACCAGGTCAGGCACTTACTTCTTTGCAGAGATTCTTTCTGTTTTTGGAGAAAAATGTGGGGCCAATAATTTCCTTCAAAAGCTGCAAAAGAAACAATGCAACACAATGAAGTTATCCTCTGAGCAAAACAAAAAAAATATTTGTGTATTTATTTATTTTTAAGCATGCTACAAGTCAAAGCAGGGACAGCATATATGAACTGTGTGCTTCTACACAAAACTGAATGGAAATTATAGTGGAAAATCTGCCAGAAATCCTGTGCAACATGAGACTTCCTGTACTTCATACTAAAATCTTCTGTTCCCGTTAAAAAAAAAAAAAAGAGGGATAAATCTTTGCTCATATTTCTGAATTCTTGTTCCACCCTCTGGGTAGAAGTAGTGGAGGGAATAGCCAAAACTAGGACAACATGGGAAAAGTATTGCCCCATGTGTTCTTCACAAGAATTATGGGATCTGGAGCTGAAGAGTGGGAAATCCCCAGGCCTTAATTGTTGGTTTTGCTACTCATGCTAAGGCAGAATGATGAAGGTGTTACCTGCTCTCTTCTGTACACCTCCTCACAAAACCTGTTTTGGTTAGGAGAAGCCAAGGAATGTTTAGCAAATGCGGAGCACAGCACGGTCCCTCTTCCATCTCAAACCCAGACCTCCAGCATGTGCACAACTGCACCACGTTTTCACACATACCCGAAGGCTCTTTCACTTTCCTGCCTTGCTTCCTGCCAAAGTGTGATCAGAATGACACATGGAAAAGGGCCACCACAGCCAATCTACAAGCAGGGAGCCCTGTGCACTGCCTGGGCATGGAGTGGGCTTTCATAGAGTCCACAGCTGGATGGTAACAACCAAAGCAAGATGCAAGAATAAGGTCCTGGGGTGCTTCTGAAATGTGATACTCATTTTTACAGTTTCTAATGTCTGGTATTTCTTAGATAGCAGGAGCAAATATCCCATAGAAACCATATAATTCTCTATTATATGTTTAGGATCTTTTGCAACATAGAAAATATTGTGGCAGAAAGTTTCTTTAATCACATAAACCAGGACAAGGCTCAATACATATCTATATATACACTACAGTTCTGCAGGGTTCTGTTGCTTCCTTAGACACTGCAGTGATTTGAAAGCCTCCAGGGAGCTCACCAGCTGTAACAGCCTCTCTAGCCAACTCCATGCTGTGCTGCTGAATGTGAGGTAATATTTATTATGTGGTATCTCAAGGACTGAAGGAAAACAGGTGAGGTTCTGTTTTTTATGTGAGGCTAGATTAAGGCACAAGAGGGAATTTGGGAAATAAGAGTTTCAGTATATGCCTTTGCTTTGGATCTGAGATCCAGATATCTCCAACTTCCCCATCAGTCTATGCCTCAATTCTTGTCTGAAACAATACTTATTGTAAAAAGATGCTATCTAGACAAACTAATCTAAGTTTATAAGAGCTAAAATACAACACTGGTGAAATTGTATACAATGAACAGACAGAAGGGAAATAAATCAAGAATGTAAGTTCAGTGACAGAAGTGCTCCCACCCTAAATGTTCTAATAGCTTTAAATGGCATTCATTCCAGTCAGTTGTCTAGGCTCCTTTCACAGGCTGTAAAAGTAAACGCAAATTTACTGAGTACAATTTGACTCGCAAAACATGTGGCTAACACGGAACAAATGAATTATACACAAAACTTTTATTTCTCTCCATTGATGTAAAAGAAACCTT